AAAACAAGAAATTAATTACATATTAGCAATTGTCCCCATACTATGTATGTGTTTTTTAAAATTAGGAAAATAAAATTTACAAAAAGAAATATACAATGGTTTCCAAAAAAAAAAATTGTGACGACTTTCAAATGATTTTTCGTCACTAAAGAGGTTGTTCATATCTTTCGTGATTATTTATGAATAATTATTCCCCGTCACTAAAGGTTTATTTCATTATGAGAAAAAATTGTGAAATAGAAAATTGGAGCAACCAACATGGTTACCTGGATGTGAAGCTCTGAAAAAGAAAAAAAAAACAGTAAAATTATTTGTGTTTAGTTTACTATATTGCTCATGAATTTTATTTTGGTTATTTTTCTTTAGTTTTGTTGACATGATTAATTTGATCTTTTCACATGTTTTTGGTTGACAAAGAGTGTTTTTTTTCCCTAAACCCCTATTATTAGGGGGAGGGGGAGAGTTCAAAATTATTGCAATAATTTAGGAGATGGAGAGTTTCAAACCCGGACATATGTGTAAAAACCTAACACCTTATCGACTAGTGTATTAGTTTTTTAATTGATAGTTTAGATAAGATCATTGACGAATTTTTAAAATGTAACTGAAAAATGACATCAACACAAATATTTGCAGATCAACACACAAAAATGGTCATATTTATGTCTAAGCGTAACAAGTCCATCAGCTACCATATTCAGTTATGTGTTAATATAATTCCAATGGGTGGTTTTGTTAGGCCACTGATTCTTTACAAGTTAGAAGTTAGAACCAACCAAGTCCCTTTCCCGATAATCCCTTTCCGGAGCGCTCCACGTTTTTCCAAACAAATGGCATTATTGCATATGTTGTACTTATATGTGCTTGTGGGCTTCCTCTTGGGCGGTGCTGGTACTACATCCCATTCGACCTATGTTTTTAGCCTTGGCCGTTTCTTCAAGATGTGTGTCATCATATGGCATATTACATTTCAACACAAAAAAATTATGTTTTTGTCTTTACCATTTTGATTTAATTAATTCCATCAAGCAAAGTTTTTATATTGAATGTATATAATTTGACGCAATTATCCAACACGTGCTATGCTATTGTGACACATCTTAAGTTAATCATGTATTGTCACGTGAAAAAAATTAGATGTATGTTGATAAGTAATTAGTTTAAGATAATTGCCTGTCAAAGTGAGATCCTACTAAATATTCATATTTTATAACCCTAATTTGAAGTGTAGGTAAATTTATGGAGAAATTAGGTTCACATCTCTCATTTTTCTATTTCATTGATTGAAACCTTGTTTTTTTCAAACTTGGTCGGGATCGTTTGAAAGTGTTTTTAAAATGATTGAAAACACTTTTAGAAAAAAAATGTTTTTAGGTTTCAAAAACACTAAAACTGTTTTTCCATAACTCATTTGAATTTTTACTAAAGATTGGTTCCAAAAATATTTTTACAAAAAAAATCTTTTAGCCATTTTAAAAACAATTCCAAACGATTCGTTAATATGCATTTACAAATACTTAGTGGTGTGGTTGCTTACTAATTTAATTTGTTATGTTATTATTTTGGAATACATTAGGAGTCACGTAGAGATGGTGAAGAGGTTCAAGATCTGGAGTTACAAGGAAGGAGATTTACCAATGGTTCACAATGGGCCCACCACATACATCTACTCCATAGAAGGGCAGTTTATATTTGAGATGGAAAGTGGGCCAAGCCCATTTGTGGCCCAACATCCTGACGAGGCCCACGTATTCTTCCTGCCATTGAGTGTGTCCAAGATTACCGACTTCCTATACAGACCTCACCATGAGACATTCTTCCATCGGCTGGATCGTACTTTTACGGACTACATTTTTGTTGTAGCGGATAAATACCCCTACTGGAATAGAAGTGGTGGGGCCGATCATTTCTTTGTCTCATGCCATGATTGGGTAAGCTAGTATTCATTCATCATCAATTATTTGATTTGCTTTAATATTTATTATTATTAACGATTTGCAAGGACAAATCAACCATTTGAATTTAGATTTGTTGGTTTTCTTACTTGGACAATTTGTTAGTTTAGGTTGTTGCCAAGGAATATGGAATATCTCTGGACCAGGAAATCTAGGTTTTTGAATTGTGTGGAAGAGAGATCGGGACCCTCAGTTTATGTGAAGTGACTATCGAATGAGTTAATAGAGATTCAAATTCAATTTGAATGGTTCTGATTGCCTGGTCTCTATGCTTCGGATAGTGAGATCCAGAAAGGATCTCTTGTCTGTTTTCAAGTCAGTCAGCAAAATAACATTTATGCACTTTGAGATAACTTGGTTGATTGCCGATCCTAGTAACTCGTTGATTTTGTAGCACAAGTAAAGTTGGCATGCTTTGAGCTCGATTGTCACATGATTGGATCAGCGTATCATAATTATCATGAGATAACATTGATTGTTAAATTACATCTAAGAATATATATATATATATATATATATATATATATATATATATCATTGCTCAACTATTATGTATTTGATTTTTCAGGCACCAATTATCTCACGCGATGACCCGAGGCCTTATAAGAATCTCATTAAGGTGTTATGCAACGCAAACACCTCTGAAGGATTCAAGCCTACTAGAGACGTCTCATTGCCGGAATATAACCTAAAAGCCTTTGACCTTGGGCCGCCCCGCTTCGGAGAACCCCCAGATAAGCGTCCACTCCTTGCCTTCTTTGCCGGAGCTGCTCATGGAGACATCAGGAGCATTTTGTTTGAGCATTGGAAGGAAAAAGATGATGAAGTTCGAGTTTACGAAAAGCTCCCTAAGGACCTGAACTACCACAAGCTAATGGGACAAACCAAGTTCTGCTTGTGCCCAAGTGGGTCTGAAGTGGCAAGTCCTAGAGTTGTGGAGGCAATGTATGCAGGGTGTGTCCCGGTGTTGATTTCTGACTACTATGCAGTACCATTTGATGATGTTCTTGATTGGAGCAAGTTTTCGATACAAATTTCGCCCAAGAGAATATCAGAAATCAAGACAATACTAAAAGCTGTTCCATACTCAAAGTACTTGAAATTGCAGAAGAGGGTGATGCAAGTAAGAAGGCATTTTGAGCTCAACCGACCAGCTAAGCCCTACGACGTATTTCACATGGTGCTCCACTCGGTGTGGCTTAGAAGGCTCAACATTCGGTTACCAGATCGGTTTTGAGCATCTCGGCATCTTGTAAAGTTTCTGATCAATTTTTTTTTTTTTGTAGCGGGAGACAAAACTCACGATATATGATGGATTCATTACTAAATTCAGAATCTTCAGATATATACAATATTTTATTAAACTCACTATGATGCACTCAAAAGTCGAATGCAGTAGACCATATGTACGATTCCAAATCAGATTCGTCCAACCATTCGTATCCTTCTATTTTATCATCCAATTTAGCTCTTGCTCCAGCTTGCTCCTGCATCGAGTAGGCAGGAGCCTCATGGTCAATGGAAAAACAAGATGTACGCACAATGCGGGCAATGGAAAAACAAGACGTATGTCGTGCCTGCTCGATATAGGAACAAGCTAGAGAAAAATGTATCATCGATTTAATTGGAACACCACAACGATGACCAAAACTAATCGAGCACCGTCATAATAAGCTATGGCTAAGAAGATTCAAAATGAATACCATCCAATATAACCAAAAATAAAATTAATGGTTTTGTCAGATTTTTCCTTTTGCCTTGTAAATATGTGATGTTTAACCCTAAACCCTAGGTGTGGTTGTTTACCAACTAAATATGTGATGTTACCATGGGTTAAAATAGGAGTCACATAGAGGAAATTTGCCATTGACCCACAATTGTCCCACTGTCGCACCACCACCATCTACTCCATAAATTGGCAGTTTATATTTGAGATGCAATGCAACATCCTGATGAGGGCCATGCATGCATTCTTCTTGCGTTGAGCGTGTCCAACATCACTGACTTCCAGTAAAAACCTCACCGCCAGGCCTTTTTTTCATCGACCGGATGGAATCTTTCTTTACCGACCAGTTTGTAGCAAACAAATGCCCTTATTGGAATGGGAGCGGTGGAGTCGATCATTTTTTCGTCTCACCGAATGAAACTTGAGTAGGGCCACTTGAATTATGTATTCTATATTTTCTGTTGGACGAAAAATTCTTTAATAGGGAGATGTAAAATATTCATTTTTGAACGAAAGATGTAAATAAAAATTTAAATTTACATTTTGTTGGTGATGGATCTAGCCAATCAAAGAAGAAAATTTAACAAAGATCTCAAATTTACATAAGTCTCACGAAGAAAAGAATTTAACCGGGATCTCAAATTTACTTTGCGCTCATAAAAAAAAGAAATTTAACTCAGATCTCAAATATGTATTTCTTCAATAAAGATGCTCTAACTTTCCAAGAGACTAGTATTAGAGAATGACTTATATAATATGAGTTCATCTTCAATTAGCATTCCTTGCTAATAATACAAAGACACGTGTTAGTTTTCTTTCTACATATTTATTGGCACGAAATATCAGCCGATGAACCTTTGACGTTCAAGTTGTCCAAGTAACGAGGTGTTTATGTGTTGATGGAGGTCTATTTAGTTGATGTTTAGAATATGATGCAGTCATTCCAATCGATGAAATTTATCTTTATCCCTCGATAATGTAATCATGCAGCTCATATGGTAGCGGCGTACATTCTTGACCATAGCAGAAGCTTTGATTGGGATGAATTAAGATCTGAATTTTTATTTAATATTCTAATAAAATATGCAAATGTTTCTATTCGTATTTGATTATTAATACAGTTGTATCCTCTGTAAAAAAAAAAAAACAAGGTGTTTATGCGTGATGTGATAGGAAAAAGGAAAAAGTAAAAACGGTGTGCGATGACTTGGCAGAATAAGAGAGGGAGGGGAAATGGGAGACAGACTTGTTGATTCGCTCAACAAAAATAAGAAAAAACGCTTCTTGGCGGTGCAGTTTTACTATGAGGGCAGTAGAGCATGGCAGCCTTTGAATTCCGGTCACCCTACTTTCTCTCTATAACTTTTCTCCTCCTCCTCCTCCTTCTCCTCCTCTCCTTCTCCCCCTTCAACCAATTCCACTTCACCCCCTTAAATCCTTATTCTTCCCGATCTGCCCCTCTCCAAATCAGAAATTACACAACCTCATATCAATATGCCACTCCGAATCCTGCACCCTCTCCCTCTCCCTCTCCTTCCACTGTTGCAGACAATCTCCAAGTAACCACCTTTACATTTTCTTGTTTCTGGCGTTTTTATGAAATTACACGGATAAAGTTTCAATCTTTCTTTATTTCTGGTTTTTTTTTTTTTTTTTCTTCTATACTTCTTTCCCTTTCTTAGATTCTGCATTTTTTGTGCCCATAATTTTATTCAGCAGGAAAAGAGCAGCAGCAGCAGCATAACAAGCAAGATTGAAGAGGAGTTGGCGAGAGCCAGAGCCGCCATCCGCGAAGCCATTCGTACCAAAAACTACACATCTGACAGACAAGAAATTTACATCCCCAGAGGAAGTATCTACAGAAATCCCTATGCTTTTCACCAGTAAGTTTTATTTATTTATTATTTATTAAGTTTCTTTTTCTTCTGCATTTGGTTATCAAAGCTACTTTAATATAAATCTGTTTCTCAACCAAAATTTAAGAAAATTACTACTCCAATCCTCTGATCAACCTGAACAAAAATAAAATATAGGTATTTAAGTAAGGAAATTATTATTGACATTCTAAAAATCTCATTTTACACTGTAAGTGTATTTTTCTTAGAAAGTTTGAAGTGTAGTATGAAATTTTTAAAATGCTAATAACAATTCCTTTTAGTAATTACATATAATACAAATTTTACTTTTTTATTATACAAACTTCACAGCCAAGTAATCCTAACACATTCATTTAAAAATTAAATAAAAATTAAGAAGGTTTTTTTAACCCGCATCTCCCACTCTCCCAGGTCAACCCTCTCCCCTTCTTCCAAATTCCAATCCCAATTTTGTTTTGTTTATATATATATATATATATATATATATATATATATTTCTCTTAAAGAAAGTGATATAAATATTTTTTATAACAAATAGTAGACATATTTAATTAATATGTATAACGTGTGAGCATATAAATGATTTATTTATTTATTTATTTATGGTAGCGTCTTGAATAATATACATTTTTTGTCTAATTGGTTTTGATGCCTCAATAAAGCAGATTTGTTTATAGCTAATTTTGATGCCAGTTCTTTTCTTCCAAACAAAGCAATCCCTTTCATTTTTTCAAAACTTTATTATCTTCCCCATTATTCTCTAATAGTATTTTAATTTGCAATTATTGGGGTCGGTCCATTTCCAAAATACTATTTATGGTTCTTGTTTTTTTCGGTGGCGTATGGTCGACTACTACCATCCCAAAATAATTGTGGAGCTCTTTGGCTTTATCTTGCGCAGCCATTGATACTTTTTCGCTGAAATATTTTCGGAATTGAATATATCTTATCTCTGGTTGTATGGCAGAATTTCTAGTTGTAATCTACGTTCATTTACAATAGGATTAGATTTTCTTTCAAAATAACAATAAATGTAATTAATTAACACGATAATTCGATAGATTTTTTAATATGTGTGGAACACAGTACATTACATTTTGTGTCATCATAAAAGTAGAGGAACGTTGAAAATATATTTTAGTAGTAATTATTTACCATGTCGTTCATTAATGTTATAACATGTCGTGTATTACTTTATTTTCCAGGTAAAAGAAATCTCATTAATTTTTATATGTGCAATTCGTTCTTCTTTGCTGCAATTTACAGTTTGAAATATATGCAAAAGTAATTTAATTTGGATAATTTTGAATGAGCAGGAGTCACATAGAGATGGTGAAAACATTCAAAATATGGGCCTACAAGGAAGGGGAGATACCCATGTTTCACAATGGGCCTATGTCCTACATCTACTCTATTGAAGGCCATTTCATCGATGAGCTGGACAGTAGTGGTAAAAGCCCATTTTTGGCCCGACATCACGACGAGGCCCATTCCTTCTTTGTCCCTGTGAGTGTGAAGAGGATAGCTGATTTCTTGTACGACCGGCCTAATCCCTACACATTTCACGGTCGACTGGTTCGAATCGTCACCGATTACATCAATGTGGTTGCCCAGAAATACCCCTACTGGAATAGGAGCAGTGGAGCTGACCATTTCATGCTCTCTTGTCATGATTGGGTACCATATCTTCATTAAGCCAAATCGGAAAGAAAAAATGTGGCATTCGTCGTTGCAGACAAATCACAGCCCAATAAGTGTGAATTGCATGTGTCATACTGTGATTTGCTTGTACCGAGGAATGTCTCGTTACATTTGGTTTTGTAAAGGAAGAAAAACAAGGCACCAGCCATCATCTATCCTTTCCCTTCGGTTTTCTACGCATGGAGTTCCATACCATTCTGTTTTGATATCCATCTTTCTTTGTTTTTGCAGGCACCGGAAATCATAGACGACGACCGTGACTTCTACAAGAATTTTATAAGAGTACTATGCAATTCCAATACCTCAGAAGGGTTCCAGCCCAAGAGAGACGTCTCATTACCGGAATACAATATACCGGAGCACACTCTTGGCCCATCGCTCCTCGACCAACACCCCGATAAGCGTCCTATCCTAGCCTTCTTCGCCGGTGGTGCTCATGGAGACATAAGGAAGTTCTTGTTTGAGCATTGGAGGGACAAAGATGATGAAATCCAAGTCCATGAGTACCTTCCAAAGGGCCAAAATTACCATCAGATTATGGGACGGACCAAGTTTTGCTTGTGTCCTAGTGGCTCCGAAGTTGCTAGCCCTAGAGTGGTTGAGGCCATGTATGCAGGGTGTGTCCCTGTCCTCATTTCCGATTACTATTCATTGCCCTTCGCTGATGTTCTTGATTGGAGCAAGTTTACGATCGAAATCCCGCCCAAGAGAATACCGGAGATTAAGACGATCCTGAAAGCCTTTCCACACTCAGAGTTCTTGAAGTTGCAGAAGAGGGTGATGCAGGTTAGAAGGCATTTTATGCTGAACCGACCGGCGAAGCCGTATGATGTGTTTCATATGGTGCTTCACTCAATATGGCTAAGGAGGCTTAACATCAGGCTACCAAATTGATTATAATTAAGAATCGGGTTATAAGCATTTTATCAATATCTTAATCATGATTTTCATAGCATTTACATCTATACCATTTGTTCAACGAGTAAAATCAAACACAAGTGATTTAATTCACTTGATACATTATTCATTACTGCAAGAAAGTTTCACAAAAAAGTAAAAATCCAGTCTCAAACCAATTTTTAGACTCTGGCCAGCACAAGTTGCATACGAAACATAAATTGCAGAAAGTACAATGTACGAAGTATGTTGGAGAAAGGAAAAAGAATGAAGAATTCAACGGTGAATGTCATTACCAGCAACCTCAGTCGTCCGCCCTGGTGCAGGGTTTGTGGAGGCTGGTTGTTTGGTGACAGCAGCCATAATATCTGCATAACCCACCACTCCAACGACGATATCATCACTATGATCCTCGGTCACCCACACGTGTGTTGCCCTGTGAGACAACATCTGAGCCATCACTGCAGCCAATGAACTCGTAACCCTACAGGTCAAGGGTGCACTTCTGCCCCTATACATGCTTCTGCTCACTCCCAAGCTTGGGCTCGCAGGATTGAACCCTATACTCCTGCTACTGAACTTCTTCGGCCTTGCTGACCCGCCACCATTAGCTTGGTTATTATTTCCAGCAGTGGGATGCACAGAGAAATTGTATTCCGACCTCGAGGACACATTATCCTCAACTCCCATCACAAACTGTCCAGCGGAGAGATTAGCTAAGGCCCATGCTGCTGATAAGTAATCACATTTCCATAGTTTGGAGGCAGAGATCTCTCCGATGATCTTATACTCATCATCCTGTGTCTGTTCGACAACAGCAACTGCACTAGGGTCGTCCGGAAGCTTTTTAGTGGCTTCAATGGCTGCAGCCGAGGCTTCAACAAATTGGTAGTTTGGGTTAATTGCTCCAATAGAGGAGATAGAGGAGAGTGGAAGAGGTGCTAGGGCACCTAGGCAACCAATCAGGAAACGGATGACATCTTCTCTTGAGAGACAGCAAAACTTGTCACGGGTACTGCTAGTGGAAGATGAGGAAGGCCGATTGGGATTGGCAGCAAGGTTATTGCTGCTGCCACTAGCATCTATGTTCTTGAGCCATTTACCACTATAGATCATAGAGAAACGTTTGCTCATGCCTTTCCATACCACACTCTTTCGAACAATAAGACGCTTTACACCATGCTTCATCATCTCCAGTGCATCTATCAACCTTGCAGAAACAGAAATCCAAATTGGAAACAATGCGCATTTCACTTTTAAGTAAACATTTCTTGTTTCTTTTGCTAAACAATGTATATCTAAAATGGATAGCAATACTACAGAACTTCACAACTAGAAACTCATAGAGACATCAGGAAATCGATGCATATATACCCAATAAAAATTATTTATAAAACTTCAGATTCCAAGGAATTCCCTTGTTTTACCGATATCAGAACTTGTACCTTTATTTGTGATCAGGACTATTTGGCACCACGGACAAAGTATGCAACAGAATGTAAAAGAATCAATGATCAACAGATGGATGGAAGCAGTAAAAATGAAAACAGATTTCTCGCCACATTGAGAACGGAATAGTGACAGCAGCATGCTGACACAGGCATCAATATGAGCAAAAGAACTAGAAGAACAAAGATCTACAACTAGCCAACAAATTCCATTTAGGAAATCCTCCTTTAGTGGAGGAATACGAAAACAAATCGTAGACTTCTAAACAATGCTCATACAGAAAAGCTAACAAGTTAACCTCTCAATCGATATGATCACAAACTGAATCCAACAGAAATCATCCCACAACAATTAGCCACCGAAACAACACCAATCACCACAAAGTACTTCAAGTGCAAGATATCAAAACCGAATCACAGAACATCATTCAAGTTATAGAACGCCATGATCGATAATCATAGAAACAACACCTAAGATCAATAGAAATTCATAGCATCACGATATAAAGTAGTAAGATTGAGAAGTAGTAGCCAACCTTGTGGCAGGATCAACCTGCTTGAGCAAAGAATTATTCGGAACAACAACATCAGACACCGGAGTCTTCAAAGCCTTGTCATGATCCTCAAGGCACTCACTTTTAGCAAAGAAAGCAACAATGTCGAGGGAATTAAGGATTCCCACAAACCTCTGCTGCAACATTTCATTGTTTTCGACCATTCCCACATGCGATTTCCTCTTCCACACCGGTATGCCACATTCCGTCGACTCTCCGATCGCCCTTATGGCCGCCTCCATCGTCTCCGTCTCGCACAGCTCCACCATCTCCGGCTTCCCCACCGTTAGATCACCCACAACATGGTACAGGAACACCGACGCCATTGCCCAATTTCTGTTCTAAAATTAAACAAAACCAATCAAACTCCTACTGATCTCTCCATTTCTGTTCAATTAGAATAAAATACTCATTAAAATTTGAAAATTTACCTCAAGGGACAAACTAAAAACTGAGTTCTCTCGTTTTCCCGGGAAATCAAGCTTCTTTGATCGCACTTCAAATTTTCCGGTAAAACTTGTGTGACGAAAACCCAACAGAAAGGAACTTTCTTTGCGTTTGATTTCTATTTTCTAAGAAGAAAAACAACAAAACGAAGAGAACCCAGATCGAATATAAACTAGATCGGATAAAGGGTTCCTGAAAGAGGCCAAAACAAGCAGGAAAGCGTAAGGTGAAACCGGGAAGACCGGCGAGAGGACGAGAGTTATAAGAGGGAGTGGAGGAAGATGAGGAGGAGGTGGAGACCGGTAATGGGTAATCTGTGAAGGGTCAGGAAAGAGAAGGAAAAAGGGAAAGGAGGAGGTTTGGCCATTGAAGGAGGAAGAGAAGAAGCTGAAGGTAAAGGCCCATCAAATGTCTCTCCGATCTCTCAGATCCTGGTGACTTCTGACGAGATGTGGATGAGAATTGATGACTGAATCAGAGAGAAACTCTGATTTTTCGGTGGATGATTAATTAGCTAATAGGTGATCTGATTTTTATTGACACTTCATATTTAGTCAAAGATTTGGTCTTTAACATTATTGCCCACCGTTTAACAAAGACTAGACTTATATATGTGAATGGGTACTATCTATATTCGACATGATAAAAATATGATACGAAAAATAAAATAAATGTAGCATTATTCTTTTATTCTTTTATGATTTATACAATATTTTATATTTGTATTCACCTTTGGTCAATCACATAATAAACTAATAATAATAATTAGATTTACATTTGCTATTAATTTGAGTAGAATTTAAAATTTTCTCTTAGATAGAGAGGTACCAATGGATTGTAGTTCTAGTGGCAACGATATCTATTTCCAATTAATTTAAATTGTAAAGAAAAGATTCAAACTTGAGTGTATTAGGAGAGTACATATGTTATACGACGACGATCATGTCTTTTAAATTGAAATTTTTTTTCTTTTTTTATCAATAAATTAAACTTTCCTTTTAGACAAAAGTGATATTTTATTGTATATCATTTCATTATATGAAGGTAAGCAATATATTGCCTTTGTGGGTAGAACATTTCTCTTCAATCCACTACGTTTTAGGTTCAAATTATTTCGCAGGTGGTCCAATATCTTAGTGGATATGCTGTTAGGTTTCCATTCATGCGTCCTGGGTTCGAAACATTCCATCTTTCTGAATTAATGTAACAATTTGGGATCCTCTCTCATCCTCTTAATAATAATATTTAAAACAAAAAGTACATAGTATATAGAACGTACAATATATATGGTCCAATATATTAGTGAATAAAGTGTTAGATTTCTACCATCAAGGTTCGAAACTCTCTCATCCCTTAAATTATTGTAATAGTTTCAAATTATCCCCCTCCTTCTAATACTCATAAAAAAAAAAAATAATGCACAATCTAGTGTAACAAATGTTTTAGCTTAAAAAACGTTGCCATTAAGGGCAAACGTGGGTTGGATCTATTGATCAAATTAATGTGTGTTTACCGTTGAGAACCTGGATCCAATTATACTTTCATAAGAGGGAGGGAAATGGGCGCATTTGGTAACTTATGGTAATTTGGTTTTATCATTTCAAAGTGTTTTCTTGTTTATTTTGTTTTATCATCCTCTAGATATCGATCAATTAATATCGACGCACGAATCTGTGATCGACTTCTGCTTGCGCCCAAGTGGCTCTGGAAGTCGCAAGTCCTAGCGTGGTGGAGGCAACTAAGTATGCAGGGTGTCCCGGTGCTCATTTTCAACTACCATGCAGTACCATTGGATGATGTTCTTGATTGGAGCAAGTTTTCATATACATGTAGGAAATCCCAAAAACAACAGGTGCTGCTGCTCGCTAATAGACTAATAGTAATATATATTCCCAGACAAGCAGCACAAGTAAACAAAACCAAATTAAACACGAGAAAATAACAACCGAACAAATTAAGTATCCATATATCCGTCCGCCATCCATGCATGACGACGGAGCTTATTCCAAGACAGACATGACATACGAACACAGTGCTGAAACTCAAGGAAAATAAAGGCCAGACATGACATACGAAAGAGCTTAATCATGCAACAGCTGCATGCAATGCAATCTTCCCGATTCCTCAGCAATTCAGGATGATCATATTGTCTCGTGGGAGGGGTCTGTCGGTACGCTAGCCATTTCCACTTCATTTTGCATCCGCACCGGGAACTTAAAGTGCGAGTGTTGACTTCCCACTCGATATATCTACATAACACGAGCCTCCTGTGGGCAAAATGCACGAGGGTGGTGACCCTTACAGCAAACTGGACAAAGCTTATAGTCATGGCGGCATTCTCAGTCCGACAAAATATGCAATTATACTTATTGAGTTGAGTCGGAGGACCTTCAACAGCCTTTTCTTCTTCTTCTTCAAGTCGGCATCGACTAAGACAGTCTTCAACAGCCTTTTCTTCTTTCTTCTCATTCTTCTTCTTCTTTGAAATTGAAGTGTTGGGTTGAGTCAGAGGGTCTTCAACAGCCTTATCATCTTCTCCAAGTCGGAGTTGACTCAGAATCTTCAACAGCCTTTCTTCTTTATTCTCATCTGTTTGTCAGCAAATCGAAATGTACACACAAGTAGAACTGGCCAAACGTACAAATTAGGTTTACAATGGTTTTATATGTAAATCCAACCTGATAGCTCCTATTTAAATATTGATGCCAGTCGAGCTTAAAATTTCTTACTTAGATAGTGGGCATGTGCCAATAGGTCGTAGTTATAGTGACAACAATATGCTACTTCAAATTACTCTAAATTGTGGAATTGATAATTCGAACTCGAGTGGATTGAGAAAGCATGTTGGATACAATGTGGTTACGCTCATGTTTGTCACATTGAAATTTTAATTTTCAACAAAATGGTATTCTATTATAAAACATTCAAAATAAGAAGTGATTTAGGTGATATACACAAAAACTGAGTTCTCAAAATTTCCGTTAAATTGAATTTGATTTTTTTTTTTTTCTCTGGCATATTGTTAACTGAGCCCAAAGTAGTATTGGATCCAATTTACAGGTGTATCATTCCATTACCAGCCCACACAACTGGGCTCACCCTCTCACTTAAAAAGCAAATAATTAAATAATTAAATAAAAAAGCAAAGGGAAAGAAGCTTTAATGGCCTCCTTTTTTCCACATTCCATATTCGTGTTTGGTTCTTCCTCACTGCATTTTGCTCCATTTTCACCTGTAAGCGTCTCTTTCTCTCTCTCTCTCTCTCTCTCTCTCTCTCTCTCTCTGCACACTAATGAGTCATCACTTTGCATTCTTGTTTTTCTAATTGTCCAAAGATTTTGCTTCTCATCCATCTCTTCAAGATGGGGTTTTTCTGCTTTTACCCCTGCGGTAGGTAAAATTTATAGCTACTGCCACTGAGCTTTGTCTTTAGCTTGTCCAATATTTTGCTTCCAATCCATATTGGGGAAGATGGTCTGTAGCTTTTCATCCTTGTTATTGCCTTAATTAACAGCTGCTGCTGTTCTTCAACCCCTCTGAAAACCCTCTATTTTTAAGCCATGGAGCACAAACGGGTTTCAGGTTGTTGCCCCTGTAACCCTCTTAAATTACGCGCACTGCTACTGATATTCTTGGTGCTTGTATGCTCAAACCTTTCTCAGTGTTTTGATATTTACCCACAAGACAAAGACTCAGTCTTGCTGTTTAGGTCATTGGTCCAAGACCCTAGCCAGAGCTTGTCCAGCTGGGTTGGTTCTAATTGTACCAACTGGACCGGAATCACCTGCGAAAACCAGACCGGCAGGGTGGTTTCGGTTAACTTGACCAACATGAACTTGTCTGGCCAAATTCACCCCAGTTTGTGCAAACTTCCATTTCTCGAACATTTGGTTTTGTCTGAAAACAACTTTACTTCCCCAATTCCGTTGTGTTTCGGTTCGTTGCGCAGTCTGAAAACCCTGCATCTCGATCACAATAGGTTTCAGGGGATTGTGCCCGATACACTCATGAAGCTTAGGCAGCTGAAAGAACTTGTTTTGAATGGTAACAACGATTTGGGAGGGCTTATTCCTTTGTGGGTTGGTAACTTCTCGTCTCAGTTGGAGAAACTAGATATTGGGTTTAATTCGTTTCATGGGGAGATTCCTGAAAGCGTGTATTACTCAAAATCTTTGAAGTATTTAGATCTTGGGAACAATAATTTATCTGGTATTTTGAGTGACTTTCACCAATCTTTGGTCTTTCTCAATCTTGGATCGAATCAGTTTTCCGGTACTTTGCCTTGTTTCTCTGCTTGTGTTCAGTCTCTTAGAGTTTTGAATCTGGCTAACAATTCTGTTGTGGGAGGAATGCCGACATGTATTGCTTCGCTTCAAGGTTTGAATCATCTGAACCTTTCATTCAACCACTTGACTTATGAGATATCTCCAAGGCTTGTGTTTTCGGAGAAGCTTCTTGTCTTGGACTTGAGTAACAATGAGTTGTCTGGCTCTCTTCCGAGCAAGATTGCAGAGACAACAGATAAATCCGGGCTTGTTCTTCTTGATCTGTCTCACAACAGTTTCTCTGGTGAAATCCCATTGAAGATTACCGAACTGAAAAGCTTGCAGGCCCTGTTTCTGTCATACAATCTTCTTGTGGGGGAGATTCCGGCGAGGATTGGAAATCTGACTTACCTCCAAGTGATTGATCTCTCGCACAACTCTCTATCAGGCTCAATTCCGTTGAACATCGTCGGATGTTTTCAGCTGCTTGCATTGATACTCAACAACAACAATCTTTCTGGTGAAATTCAACCGGAGCTTGATGCATTGGACAGCTTGAAGATACTGGACATTAGCAACAACAAGATGTCTGGTGAGATCCCGCTTACTTTAGCAGGCTGTAAATCTCTGGAGATTGTAGATTTCAGCTTCAACAATCTCTCCGGAACCTTGAGTGATGCAATCACCAAATGGTCAAACCTCAGGTATCTGTCCCTAGCTCAGAATGAATTTAACGGAAATCTGCCCAGCTGGCTCTTTACTTTTCCGGCTATCAGAATGATGGATTTCTCAGGAAACAAATTTTCGGGCTTCATACCAGATGCCAACTTTAACATGAGCAAAAATTTTAACAATGGAGAGCTTGGTAAAATGCAGAGAGAGCCATTTGCTACAACACACAGTGCGGATACAAAAGTTTTGATTGTTGTCACTACTGGCACTGAATTAAGCTTCAATTATGTACTATCTTCGATGGTGGGAATTGATTTCTCTAATAATGTGCTAGATGGGGAGATTCCAGGGGGGCTATTCACATTACGTGGTTTGCAATACCTAAACTTGTCACGTAATTTTCTTCGTGGTCATGTTCCAGATGTAGAGAAGATGTGGGGTTTAAGGGCCTTAGATGTATCGCACAATTCTTTGTCAGGTCATATTCCCGGAAACATTTCCAGCCTTCAAGACCTGACTCTTCTGAATTTGTCATATAACTGCTTCTCTGGATTTGTTACAAAGCAGCAAGGATATTGGAGGTTCCCAGGAGCATTTGCTGGAAATCCAGATTTGTGTTTGGAGTCCTCTGATGGAGGGTGTGACCCGGCAAGCATCCCCGTGGTGCCTGGGAAGGCATTCGAAGGGGAAGAGGTTGAGGGGCGGATTTCTGTTTGGGTTTTCTGTCTAAGTGCTTTCCTCAGTTTCTACTTTACAGGAGTAGCCCTCTTTTGCTCAGCTCGAGCACGAAATTACATTCTCCAGACAAAAGCTTAGCGTAATGTTACGTGTAGATGTCAATGACAACAATAAGCTGTAAATTTTAATTACTCCTTTCTAATGGATGAGTTTGTTCTTCCATGTTTTGCTGACATAGAACTTAGCTGTTGGCACGCACAATGCTCATAATAATATGCCATAACATCAACTATATATTCCTCAGTTTTGAATACATTTTCTCTAACAATGTGGCCGAAAACAGGTGCCGGAACTCAAAAATTCGAAACTAACAGAGTAAGAAAGTTATTCGTCGTAAATAAGAACGAGCAAAACATCCCCGCCCAATCGCGACATCTTTTTGCCATGCCCAATTCAGAAGTTGGCTCTCTTAACTCAGATGCACGCCTAAAGATTCGTTGGCATGTGATTTTTGTTGGCCACTGAGAATTGTTGGCAGGAGCTCCAATCCACTGCAAAGAAGTATAAGAAAGGAGGCAGAGCACCCATCTGATCCATTTCCCAGCATTCTCCTCAAGGGCTACGCGACGTGTAATATGCACACCGAGAACGAGTTCTAATATTTAATCGGGCCGTCCAAGCTCCCGGAAGCAAACTGAAAACAACACCCACAGAAAAAGGTAAGTACTCGGTCTTAGGATCATGATTCATTGCAGTACCAAAATTGTCGTTACCTGTTGAACGATTGGATTTGTTGAGGTTGTGAATTCATGAGTCATTCCTTGCCACACTATCTTGCCCTCGTAGAGAAACAACAGCCTATACATGTTGAATTTGTATATACTCTGTTTAAAACACGTATTAAACAATCAACGCAACTGTTCAATAATAACACGACAATTTGGATGAGGCACGTAACCTGTCAACAGCTCGTCCGATGGTACTATGTTGGTGAGTAACAACAACATAAGATGCGATCTGCCCAGGTTTCTTGATTGCATCGCGACCTTTTGTATGGACAGAGCGGATGAGGTCTTCTACCACAGTAGAAGCAATAGGATCAAGTCCAGCTGTTGGCTCATCATATAAGAGCACCTGTTGAAGGGCGTCAAAGACTGTCAGGACTCGTGAGAACACAGTACACAACTACATACTAAACTCGGATGATACTAATGATACGTGTGACTCTGAAGGAATGCAATGGGAATCACGACTCGCGAAACATTCTACAGTTATGCAAACATTATCTAAGGAAACAAATTAAATAAAGAACACAACAAAGCTGTCATCTTCTCAAAATACCTCTGGCTCTATCGCCTCCTTTGTGGTATCATAAATTATGGATCGAGCCAGAGCAACTCGTTTCTTCATTCCACCAGATAGCTCCGAAGGTAATCGATCCTCAACTCCCTAAACAAACAACCGAGATTGATTCAAACAAACTTAAAAGTAAGAGTTGACTCTTTTCTATTTTTTTTTTCTTGGAAGTGGTGGTGGGGTTAGTTGGCAAGCACGCCGAGCAGTGATATCAAAACATTACATCCCATACTAACAAGATCATTAGAAGACAGTTGATGGCGAGGGTGAGAAGATGCTCAGAAATTATCCTAGTAAAAAAAACCACATGTGGTGTTGCCGAGGGTGGGGGGTTAAGTTGAGGAAGGTTTTGCAGACTAATAGATTGACATTTTAAGCATATACCTTTAACCCGACTGCGGCCAAGCTCTCAGTCACAAGCTTTGAAATTTGATCCTCGGGCATGCTCGAATTTTCATACCTAATCAATTAACAACATGAATTATACTTCGGCATTTTCTATTGAAACCTACACTATCACTCCTAACAGTGCAAAAGAATGCACAAAGAATTTAAAGCTGACTTACAGAAGGAAACCAACATTTTCACGAACAGTCAAAGAATCAAATAGTGCAGCGCTCTGAAACACCTGTTACATAGTAGATAAATGCATTAAAAGATATATATTTTTTGTTTGGATATAAGTGAACTGAAAAGAAAAATAAAATAGACAACCCTAGCATAACAGTGAAGTTTACCAATCCAATCCGAAGACCAGATATCTCATCATCGCTGATCAAACCAACTCTCTTTCGACCTCGAATGTACACCTCTCCCTGCACGTTACACAAAGGACAAATCTATATAAGAGAACAATAACTAACTCATGGAAGCTCATTAAAATCTAAACACAAGTTAATGCAACAAAGGGCATAATATGAAAACCAGCTTAACTATCAACCTTGTCAGGAGCAAGAAGCCCTGCCATAATCTTCAGAACTGTAGATTTTCCCGTGCCAGAAGGCCCAATTATTCCAACAGCTTCGCCATGCCTAATCTATAAATGAATCCACGAATGACCAATAATTTCTTTTATTAGACACAGAAATTATATTGAAAATACAGGAAAGCACAAAGTAGTGAAAGGAAGACCAGTAGCACATTCTATGTTAAAGAAAAATATTATAGAAAAAATACACGGGTTAAGAAAGAAGAAAACAGTCCTAAACAACACCATTCCCATCCTTAAAAAAGAGTACCATTCTTGTTTCTTTCGTTCTAGAAATCCCATCGCAACGCTTTCGCAGACTACTGAATTGAAGAAAAACCCAAACTGGATAACAATCTACTGTGATAAGCCAAATAGAGACTTGACTCCTCTTCTTTTCGGAACATATTTAGTTCCCGGGGTAAAGAAAGCAGCGAATTCCTTTTCTAAAGTAAATCACTAGTCTTCCTTCTTTTCGGAACATATTTAGTTCCCGGGGTAAAGAAAGCAGCGAATTCCTTTTCTAAAGTAAATCACTAGTCTTCAAAAGACAAAGGTTCAAGCTAAAGAAGTTAACTTTTGAAACGCTTGATCAGGAACTATCAGTCACAGGACAATGGCAAAGTTCACACATATGCTACCTCCACATAGGACCAATACATATAAATTCTTAAAACAACTGAAAAGACTTATATAATATGAATTAGATTCACCTTGAAGCTCACACCTCTCAATATATGCTTCTCACCAAACGATTTGTAGACGTCTCTACACTCGATTAGAACATCAGAGTCATCCTTGGGCTCCCAAACTGTACTCAAATCCTCTGATTTAAATGAATCCTGATCAGAAAGACCCTGTCAGCCACAGCTACCATTTATTGATCTGAATTAATTTCCGCTACTGCAAACATCAAATTACACATTTCATGTGTCCAATGGAATCCAACACAGTGATAAAAACACAATGCAAGTTTTCCGAATTGCAACTTGTCAATGCCTGTCGAATCCAGGACCAAGTGGAAATGCGGGGTTTACAAAGCCACCAGGTCAGAAACGACCGGCATTTTCCTAACAGTAAGCAATAAAGCTAATACCATATCTCAATAGTAAAGTAGCACATTACATAAGATAAATGAAAACTACGAAAAACGATCAGAAATATCAAATCGGTAGACAAAACCACAACACAAAGATTTGTCAAATAACAATACAATGTAGGTGTCAATAGAAGCCAAGTAAGCCTACAAAATGGTTGCTTTAGTAAATGGATTAAGAAAAAACATGAGTTATTCAAAGACAAAAACATGACTTCTTCAAAGGTTGTCTGAGACTTACCTCGAATTTAGCTGCAAAGGATTCATCGCTCCGCAGTTTGGGGGGAGGCTCCATACAAGCACACAAAACGTTTCTTTGCTCTCCCTTTTGCTTGTCACTGCTACAATTGATCGTCCTTGCAAATCTAACGGACCGAGAAAAACCATCGGATGTGAAGCCGTTGGATGTCGCCAGAGGAAACAACACTGAATTCGACACAGAAACCATGGTTCTGGTTCGCAGAACGATATTCAATTATCGGCCAAACAATCAAATTTTTAAAGCAATTGAGGCCGTTGGTGTTGGAAATTTGTGATTTTGAAGACGACCCAGATCAGATTATAGGACGAAGACCGGTTCTGGAAGCAATTCGGGTTGTAAATAGTGGAAAATTGATGAATTTGAAGGCGACCCAGATCAGTTTTTGGGTCAAAACGCCCAGAAGAGAAACCAATTGAATGCAATATGCCGGGAGGAATTGCCGCGATTGTGGAATAGCTGTTGTGGCGGCTACGCGGGTGATGGGAAAGAGGTCGGCTTTTTATGAAAGCACGTGACTTTTGTTGGGGATTTTCTCATGCCTTGCTTGGGTTTACAGAGAGAGCAAGGTATATATTAGTTCATATTATTATATGAAACTTAACGAAAATGGTTTGAAAATTTTAAGTTTTAATGATAAGGATAAAATAAAAGGTAAGGTGAATAGTAACATGATTGACTTTTTAGTGTAAACATGTGGTTTTTCGTTAAAGTGAACAGCATCATGGACTTTTCGTTAAAACTCCCTATTATTATTCTCTGTGATCGTGACAATCCGTTTAAATAAATAAAAACATTCGTATCATTGTTTTAGTATAATAATGTTTTAGATGACGTAAAATTGTTTCATATAAACTATTTTTTTTTATTAATTATTATTCGATTTTGTGAAATGATGTAGGTAGATTATATTGTGGCCGATTTGTTAATGGTAATGGGACCATAGTATCAACATCTAATTAAAAATCTTGTTTTGGGGTTAGCACAATAACATGACATAATCACATAAATTTTTTCGGAATTTCGATTCAATCATAGTGACATAGCACCAATCACTAAAAGCTGTCAACGGTAGACTTCATCATTATATTTTACATTGTTTTCAGATTTCACCGAAAAAAACATTTTTCTTTCATGTTCCACGAAAACAGATTATGTTTGCTTGAATGCAAATAAGTGTTTTATTGTATCATAATTTGAGATTAAAGGAGTGTGGTGCTGAGGTAGATTATATTTATTCTTTTAAAATAAAAGGGAACTAGCTGGTGGTTTCGACACTAGGATCGGAAAAACTCACAAGGACATTTCAGCTTTTTTTTACCACCATCGTGAGATTCAGATAGCACTAAGAGTCAAATTCAAGACGTACCATGTAGAAAATAAACCTGAAATTCCCCCAACAACCACTAAGCCACTTCAAAAGTTAACAAATCACATTACATTTACAGACGTGAGCTAGGAAATTTTTTTCTGTGTAAATGAGTAGTTTCAATAAACAAATGTTTGACAAAAAAAACAAATGGCAGTATTACTTAATAAACGTATTCATTTCATTTTGTATAAATAGATTTTTTTAATTTACGACAATCAAATTTTTATTGGGCCATGAGACCAAACCCAAAATGTGGACTTCTACTTTATATATAATCATCGAAAAGTGGGCTACTACCAAACCCAATTTGTATGTTTCAGTTTGAGGAGTCAGCCCATAAAAAGCAAGAGAAAGTCGAACCACTGAGTTTTTTTAGGATAAATGCTGAGAGTTTTTTTAGGATAAATGCTGAAATTTTCTGTAGACTCTTAGTTACTTCATACTTTAACGATAATTTTTATGCTACAGTTTATAGAAAATCCTATTTTTGAGATAATTTTTTAAGCAATTCTCTTTTTCTACTGCACATCAAATACAAAAAGAGTTGTTAGATCTCATTGGATCAAAACAATTTAATGACTCTTATTATGATACGTAATTTAAATATGCATTTTGAATATGTAATTCATCGTTAAACCACTCGCAGTTAGATCCTCGCGTACCCCCAAAATCTGTTGATGTGGGGTCAAAAACCTCCACGTTCATGTTTTAAGCTTGAAAAACCAACCCAAATTAACCCAAAATTATTAGGCATACAATCACCAAACTTAATTACCAAGAAGGATGAACCTGACCAATCTTGCAATTCGAAGCTCCCATTTTATCACGACCAATCTAGGAAGATTACATTTTTGCATCATTTTGTGTAGTAGATTTCTTTAAATAAAAACGAAAAACCTACTTGTATTTATGCTTCTGGTCTATGTATTAGAGAAATAGTTCACGATATACAAAGTATAGATCATGTGATCAAATAAGAGCTTATTGAGATTTTTTTCTTAGGGCATATAACAGAGCAACGTAGCAAGATTCAGATATGCTATTCAGCTATAATAATAGCTAGGTGAAGAGATTAGATGCCTAATTCTCTTAAGAAAAAAAAGTTATAATATGCCAAGTTCCATGCATCTTCATCAAGACTGCCTCGTGTGTTTGTTCTGATGGCTAACCTGTTCTTTTTCCAATCAACCAAACACTAGCCAGTCATAGAACATCAATATTAAAATTTACAACAAAAGCACACATACATGTTACTAAATATATAAAAATGTGCATAAATTCTCGATGCATGGTTGTAAATATAAATATTATAGATTATATTCTTCTACATTTCGTATCTCATTTCACAGAGGCTGCCACTTGTCGTGTTAAGAACCACACAGATGTTTTTGGCATTTGTTCCTTGGACTAGTGTTCCATTCGTGCACTGCATGCACTTCATTTTGTCCTTAATATTTAATTCAAAAGAAATTTTTGGAGAGAACAGAAAAAAAAAGGAGCTAGAACAAGACTAGAGAAATAAGCATGCGCAGACAGCGGGGAATGTGAGAACAATATGCATTCACAGTGCTGAAGCGATAATTAGTTAATAACTAAATACATCGTTAATTATTCGTCTATATTTTTATTTAACAATGTAGTTTCATGATTCAAATTGTTTATTTTTAAGTTTTAGCCATCATTCAAAAATTATTCTAATAAAATTCACTTAAATCTCAAGTCTTTTAACTTTTATTTATTATTGTTATTATTTTATTATTTATCGACAAGATTGTGTTCATCTGTTTATCATTTTACGATTAAACAACTAAATAATTTCTGATTTGATTCAAACTTTAACAAAAACGTCGACCCTTCAATGATACTTTGAAAAAAAATGATTGATTCATATTATAAGAAATGTTACGGAATGAATCTATATAAGTAGTTAATCAGCGCAGTGTTAAATTATTAACTTTATCATTTGATCACTTTTATAATTTACCCTGTTATAAAAGAATCAATTTTAGTCCACATGTTGCTGAAGTGGCTAGCAATGCATGCATGTATATGAAATAAAATAAAAAAATTGTGGGTGCATATGTAGCTCCATGTAATAGATGGTTTGGTTTAATTATTATCCTTCTTGAGTGGACTGGTTTTGCTAACCAATATGTGTTGGTCATGTATTAATTTTCAAAATACGTGAGGGGCTGTGTAAGAATGTGAGAACAAAGGTCCAATTTGGCGAGGGACCAAATTATGCAAAACCTTATAAAAAATTGAGTTACTTCTCATATAATCAATTAGTTTTATGGTGAAGCTTTAATTTTTTTTCATTTTTTTTTTTTTTGGTTGCTGTATTTGGTTTTTGGTTGATTTGAACTTGGGAATATATAAATGTCACCCATGGTCCACCCACCGGTCCTTATATATAAAGATATTTCATGCAATTACTGCTTGAACAAAAACATGAAGCTCCTTAAACGTGTGGTGATCGATTGTTCATATCTTATATCACGTTAGGGTTATGTATATGAATAATATTTTTTCACCGAGGAGTGAGCATAAAAGAATCGAAGTCACCTCGTGATGTTACGTTTCACCCTGATTTGTTAACATCTACATATGCTTAGGTCAAAGGTGCATGCGCACTTGATATTCTGTGCCTTAAATGCGATGGCAAACAACTAAAGCTAGCCCCTCTTTTTTAAACACTTATAATGCAGACTTTAGCTTACTTAGTCAAATTATTTAGAGCAGTGTGTTTTTTTTTTTTTTGGCATTCAAGTTTAAATTCTTTTCTTATGAGAAATTTATGTGGGTATTAGAAACACAAGTCGCGTTGTGTCTCATTTTACATGTAATAACAATGGTAGACGATATGGTTGATATATTCTACTTTTGCTTTATACTTAAAAAAAATATATATCCAAGTAGTGTTACAATTTGAGTGAAATAGTGTCATGTGACCATGTTCCAAATAAACCAAAAATTTGCTCTCTTAGTTAGTTTAGATAAGTTTGGTGCATTGTACTGCATTAACTCTTAATTTTTATATTAACTCTGTATTTTTTTTTTTTGTCAAAAAGGTGGAGAACATTCATAAAATAAAGTCTAGATGGTAAAATTACATCGTACTAGCCCTAGAAAGGATTGAAGCATACAAAAAGAAGACGTCACTTATGCAAACAAAGCATAAGTAAAGGTTCTTCCCTGCAACAATTAGAAATGGTACATAAATAAAAAGGCATAAAATGATTTTAACCCAAAAACAGATTCTCCACATAAGCTTAAACAGTAGAGACTCAAAGGTGGCTAATAGAGAAAACCGTAGAAGCCTAAATGAGAAATGACCTGCTGCAGCTGCCAGGAAACCGGAGAAACATACTTATATGAATATACGATGACAAAGCAAATCACTAAGTAGACATTCTATTGACTTAGTAATTAGTGGGTGGTTTTTGAAAGTAAATGTGTTCTATTATGGAAGCCCTTACAATTGACAAAGACAACTTGTGCACTTCTTCTAGAAGCAAGGCGATGTTGCATTTGCGGTTGTGAGATCAAAGAAATGAATGATCAAAGACCAATGGATAGAAAAACAACAGAGAACCCAAAAGGTAGAAATTAAACCATTTGCTTAATTTCTGCGGACCATACTTTTCTCTTGAGTTTTTATGGTATTAACCCTATATATATTTATGTACAAGACAAACAGCAAAATGTCGAAATGATAGTAGCAAGTATCCTACCATCCAATAGAAAAGGCAGAAACCCTACAACTCAGCCAAGTAGCTCCACCATTAGAAATCAATGCTTGCCCAGATGAGCATATTATTACATGTCCCATCAAAACCCCGGAGGAAGCAGAGAATATATGTGTAGTCAGTGGTGTTTGCATTCGTACACACATATCAAACGTAAAGTTGGCTATAACTATCGACCATGAATATTGATGCATGGATAAGGAAGGGAATCCGAACTTGATGTAGAAGGGAAGCATATGGTTCGATGATCCTATCCAACTTGATTAAGTCAGGCCTGCGCTCTAATCAATTAGTGGATTTCACTAATTAATTTGCTAAGCTATTGGGGAAAAAACAGATGATCGAGTTTATGCCAGACATGTTTTAATACTTTGGAAAATACACAGAACTTATTCCATATGCTGATCGAGGGCATATAATGGACCACTGTCGCAAAAATAATCATCTGGTTCGATCGAATTCTCAGATAATAATCATAGCTGGCATCTATTTATCTATTGGACTTTATATGACATTACAAGGTGCAAATTGTAGTATACCGTCGTCGCCTAAAACAATGTGCACACAAATCGGTTTCTGAATTCTACAAGCAGGCTAGCATGAAGTAACATTAGTAAGAACATTAATCTATTTAATAAATTTAGAAAACCCAATTTGCAAAGGTGGGTGGAATTATTGCTGGACCTCGTTCCTTATTCGATATAGAAAGAAAAAAATTGCCGACCATGTATAACTCATTGGTGATAGCAACTTTACAATTTCAGGCACTCACTCTTGCAAGAAAACTAATGTCACTATATCTCCAAGAATGAAGAATCCACCGCATGTATGGAATCATATACACCCAACATAACCCATTTCGTATGGCATTCCACATAACATAACTATTAATTAATACTTTCTTCATTCTCAAAAAGAAGGAAAGTTCTCATTTTTCTCTGCGTACGATTATTTTATGGTTCAAGCATCGACATAATTTGAATTATTCATTTTCTTTATCATCATTTAATATCATTTCTTGAAAAATTCCTTTAATTTAGAGATCGTTTTGAAATCCATATGTGTCGAACAAATCGATAGTTATGGTAACAAGTAGCATCCTCACTATAAACTGTCAATTTCTTTAGTTCATACGATTGACTAAATAATCTTCAAATCGAATGAATTTTTCTAAAATGATATTTAGATGCTGATGATAAAGAGAATAAATGATTTCTATCATAACATTTATACGGTAATTAAATAATGTCACGTTGAATGGGAAGAAGTTTATTGATCTTTTAGGATAAGAGAAGTATTATCCATAGCTGGAGCTAATTTAACAGTTGCTCTAAGAAAGGTTTTTCCTTACCAATTGCTAATACGGTCTAATGATATTTATCTTCACTTTAAAATAAGAAGTTTCAAACTCGACTCACATAGATAACAATGACGTATTATATTTATATTGAGTTCAATACTCGATTAATAATTTAGAGCATACCCCACGTTTCTCTCTCTAGCGTACATAATATGCTACAAAGCTTACCCCGGCCCAATATCAGCGTATACGATATGCTAAAAGGCCTGCCACAATTTATAAGAATCTTCGTCAAAGTCAAAATCAAATGTCTCTCATTTTCTTTTCTCAAATAATGAGGTAAAATTAGGGGCACATCAATTAGGGGACCTGGTTGGTTCCAAGGTCACTCGGAAGCACTGTTTTAAAAAATTCTCATCCAGCGTCGGGTCATCATCTTGATCTGTTTTTAGACGTTTAAAAATTAAGAAAGTCGTTTAGATTTACTTAGACGTCTATCTAGCCCGTTTAGGCATCCGCCTAGCCCACCTAAATCCACATATGAGTTCTGACTCTCACTTAAACAGAAAATCAATAACTTTCATTTTGCATTTTAATTTTTCAATAAAATATAATAAACTTGTTGAATACTTGAATGAACATCATTATCTGTTTCTTCACCATGTTTTCAATATGGTCTAATACTTTATAATTTATATGTCATTTTATTGGAATTAGGTATCCTAATACAATTATGTGTGTTTTTAAGTATAAATAGGCACGTTTTTATACAACATATAATAAATCTATTTAAATCCGCCTAGTCCACCTAGGCTCCCACCTAATTGTGTAGGCGTTAGGCCCCAACCTGTCGCCCGACCAATGTCTAACGTCTTTAAAAACCTTGCTCAGAAGCTTGGATAGTTGGCTGGGAAAACTTTCGAGGACCACCCAAGTCGTGATGGAGGAGAAGAGTCGCAGCTGCACAATGTTCTAGCTTTGTGCAAACCAAAAGGAGAGAAGAAGACGACTAATTTCTTTTCAAAAGGCATGCTAAGACTATCTCCAAAGGAGATGTCAAATTCTAAGTGTAATGTCATGTAATCAAATTTGAAGGTATTAGCAAACTCCAAACAATATGTGAATCCTATGGATTCACATATGAGTTTTTATATGTCAAATTTGACATATGAGAACATCTCTAAAGAAGATGTCAAAAAATAAAAGTTAAATGTTAATTTGATGGCTGAAGTGGCAATGTTAGATTTTCTTTTTTTCAAATCCATATGTTTTTTTGTTATAAATGATATTTGTAGGACTCATTTTAAAAAGAAATCAATTAAAATAAATTTTCAAGATCTATAATTGGTGCATTCATAGGACCCACACAATAAAATAATTTAAAATTATTTGATATCACATTTTCTCATATATCACATTTGACATATGAAAACTCATATGTCTATTCACATAGGATTGACATATCGGTTGGAACTTGATCCTGCCTTCAAATTTGCTTACATGACATTTCACTTTGGATTTGACATCTCCTTTGGATTTGACATCTCCTTTGGAGATGGTATGAGAAAGGTGATGTCAAATAATTTTTAATTATTTTATTGTGTAGGTCTTATTAATGCACTAATTATAGATTTTGAAATTTTATTTTAATTGATTTCATTTTAAAATTGGTCATACAAATATCATTTATAACAAAAAAAATATTGGTTGGAAAAGACAAAATCTAACATTATCATATACATTTGACAGTTATAATTTGATATCTCTATTAAATTCTAGTAGACTTGACTAAGCTGGTCATAGGAAGGCAATAATATTTTCTACAAATAAGACAAAACCCTTGTTGTTATAACATGACTTTAAGGGGACCATATATTATATAGAAAAGCTTATAAATTTACTAGCAAATAGCATACATTTTGTGTGTGTATGTGTAAACAATTTATCTTAATAAATGCATTTTTTTAATATTAAATAATTACAGTTTTGTCCTCCTTTTTGCCAACAGTGTGTATCAAAAGTTAGGGCAAAATAGGAAAAAAAAAGGGAGAAAAAGTTGAAAATGAGGGTTTTCTTAATAACAGTATTAGCAGAGAGCACACATTTTGTGTGTGTGTGTGAACAATTTCTCTTAATAAGTGCATATTTTTTTAATATTATATAATTACTGTTTTGTCCTTCTTATGTAAATATTGTGTATAAAAAATGAGGGTAAAAATAGAAAAATATGATTGTCATTATCTAAAAAAAAAAGGTAACAAAGAAAAAATAAGGATATGATTGTTATTTTGTCAAAAAGGTATAAAATTACTATTTTACCCTTCCTTTTTGTCAATAGTGTCTATAAAAAATAGGGCAAAATAAGAAAACGGTAAGCATCGATGTATCGTTGAGAAAACCACCCTAGGCCGCGCGGAGGCTGATAACCTCGCCATTTTTTAATTTAAAAAAAAAAGGCAAAAGGACTCGACTTTCATAGAAATTCCACCCCACCCAAATTAACTCCCAAATTCCCGCCCCACCCAACCGAAGGCCGCCGTCAACAGCACAGCACCATTCTGTTCCCCGGTCTTCACGTCCTTATCAGCACAGCACCGGTCTCTTCCCCGGTCTCTTCCCCGGTCTACACGTACTCATCAGCACAGCACCATTCTCTTCCCCGGTCTTCACGTACACATCACACTTCAAGATCAACTTGATATATATATTTTATACATATTGAGAAATGACTTTTTTCAATTGCAAGAGACTAGTAATCTTGCAAAAAAGTGATGGAAAAGGATTACGTCGAATTGTTGTTGTACAAAGATTATGAATAATGTTTCAATGTTATTATTTTTTTCTTTTTTAGCTTTAATATTGCGATCATCCAATGATAAAATCTTGAATCCGTTACTGATTACAACATTGTTTAATTTATTTGTCATTAGCTTAATTACAGTGCTTGTTACGTCATCTTTGCAATATCATCAATCTCTCTCTTAAAAGATAAAAGGAATAAAAAAGAAAAAAAAAAAAAGAACAAAGTTGGCTTTCCCCTGCATGCATATATATATAAGTACAATCAAGTTCATGAATATTGTCAAGCTAATTAACCATTCACAGTAGCAGTACATCATATTCTTCATTTCTTCCATTCTTGCCAGTAGTGCTACAATCTATTGTGCTAGGTTGCCCAAATATATTTTATTAACACACTAAGATGATTGGGTGGGAAGATGTTTACAAGGTTGTGGTGGCCACCGTTCCACTCTATGTTGCCCTAATTTTAGGGTACGGCTCAGTAAGGTGGTGGCACATATTTACTACCGAGCAGTGTGGCGCGATCAACCGCTTCGTTTGTTTCTTTACTCTCCCACTCTTCACGTTCGACTTCACTGCACATGTGGATCCTTACAAATGGAACTACCGCTTCATCGGCGCCGACTTCATCTCCAAGCTCATAATCGTGGTGGTGCTAGCACTTTGGGCCAAGTGCAGCAGCAAAGGAAGCTACAGTTGGTCCATCACAAGCTTCTCTTTGTGCACGTTAACTAATTCCCTAGTGGTTGGTGTGCCCTTGATTAAAGCCATGTATGGTTCGTCATCCGTTGATCTTGTTGTTCAAGCATCGGTCGTGCAGGCCATCGTATGGCTCACCATTCTTTTGTTCGTCTTGGAATTTCGACGTACGGGGTCGATAGACATAGTTTCAAGTCGTACTAATGTCGGCCCTCGAGTTCAATCGGTTGATCCACAAGGGAATGATGTAGAAGCCATGGAGGAGATAACAATAAGTACTAGGCCTTCCTTTTGGTATTTGATGAAGGCTGTGTGGGTGAAACTTGGGATGAATCCCAACTCCTATGCAGTTTTTATTGGTATTGCTTGGGCTTTGATAGCAAGCAGGTACTGAATATATGCATATATCTATATAATATGCAAGAAAAGATTTATTAATTATATTTGAGTATTGATCAACTAAATATCTTACGTTTTTTCATATATGTCTCTGTAAATTAATTAATAAATTTATGGGTGCTGCAGGTGGCATATTGAGTTGCCAAGCATCATGGAAGGATCTGTTTTAATCATGTCAAAAGCTGGTACAGGCACTGCTATGTTTAGCATGGGTGAGTGATCACTAATTAATCACATATATATATGCTAATTAATGCTAATGCTAATGAATATATCTGTACGGTAACGTTTTAACTATATATCATGTATGCAACGTGCAGGTATCTTCATGGCACTGCAGGAAAAATTTGTAGCCTGTGGGACGAGCCTAACAATAATTGGGATGGTTCTGAGGTTTATTGCAGGACCGGCAGCCATGGCGATTGGCTCTATTGCGGTGGGTCTGCATGGTGATGTTTTACGTGTTGCTATCATTCAGGTAGTTTACTTGCCAATTTATATATCTTAGAAAGTTAAATGATGAATCAAGCATGCATGGCCTATAAAATTAGAGTATATATGTATATTTAATAGTGGTTGCACGTCATATATATATCGTACGTGGAATAACATAGAGGTTGTTCCAATGAGCTGCCCAGCAAATTAAGTGGCCCATTTCTTCTCCGCTAACACCCTACCCTAATATTCTTTTTTACTTACATAACAAATTTTGAGAAAAATGAACTTCCGTTTTAAGGAATTGTGTTGGGAAATGTTAACCATATATTTTCTTTTTCCATACATCATTTTTAATTTTAACCATCAGATTGAATTAATCAAACGCAAATAACAAATAAGATTAAATATAAATGTGTACATATGAGGAGAAAAATTTTGTGTGTTTTCATTTCCTATAATATTCCTTCTCTAAAACAGATTGGACAACACCACATGGTTCTTTTCACGAATGGTATTAACTTTTTGTGGCCAAACTACATACAAATTAAACAAATTCAAATTAATTAGTACCGCACTGAAGGTTAGCTCACTAATTTTAAACTTTAAATGAATTTTGAAATAAGAATGTCCGCATATCTCCCTTTAACAATTTGCGCAAGCAACAATACATATTTTTGCATGATGACTTTATCTTTCAGATGGTAAATGTTACACTTCGATAATAGTGTTTCACATTACTTGTGTTTGCGGCATTCATAAAAAACATTCTCTTTTTCTACGTGATAATTTTATTTTTCAGATGATAAATGTTTTCAATTATTATTTTTGGATCAAATGATAAATGTTCGATTAGATGACTTATCATCATTTATATACAATATTGCAGGCAGCAGTGCCACAGTCCATTACGTCCTTCATATATGCCAAAGAGTATGGACTCCATGCAGAAGTGCTCAGTACAGCGTACGCATGCACCTCTTTATATTTACAAATCTCAAATTTATGCATACTTTAAATATGAAAAATATCAACGAGATTACTTGGATAATTCGCAGCAATAATATTTCAAATAAATTTCAATTTTATAGATATTCTTCTAACTTTTATATTTTGTGTTGCATGCAGGGTAATATTTGGCATGTTGGTCTCCCTTCCAGTGTTGATCGCTTACTATGCAGTTCTAGGATTTGTGCATTGACGACCATCTCTCTCAGCTATATAGATATAGATATACGTTTCAATGAATTTATAGAGGGGAAAGGATTGCTGCCTTGCTGCTCCTCTCTCCTTTGTTTTTTGTTTTAGTTTTTTTTGCTTTAATTTGATTTTCCATATCATGGTCTAAAACTGTTGGGACTAACATTAAATTAGTCTTAAAATTGCCAAAACTTGTAATCTAATAATTAACATTATCATGCATCCTAATTTAAAGAGGTTTTAATTAGGGTTCAGCCTTGTGGTTCACTCTCCCAAGAAACCGCTTTCTCTAAATTTTTTCTCTTCTCCAACTTTATTTCTACTCCAAATTCGAAACATTTCATTGCCATTTATCTATATAATGTGCAAAAACTTTATTTCAGATAAATTCAAACAAGAAGCTTCCAATCATTTGCAAAATATGAAAGTTGTAAAAAGTGAGTAAATCAAGCACTCAAGCCATCAATGGCGGAGCTAGAAATCAAGGTTAGGAGGGGCCTCAAGGCCATATGAAGAAATTAGACAAAATGTATTATAATTGAGAGGTAAAAATTGAAGGTTCTTCTTTTGTATTTGAATGTTAAATTTGGATCAAAAGAGATTAACTGAGTCACGAAAAAAATAACTTGAGATTATAAGCACTGATCTTGTATGCAAGTTTTGCTAAACAAATATTACTAGAAAATGGTGAACCGACTATGGAAGACTCATTGATATAGGCTTTAGTTTCATAACAAAACGGTAACACACTATTTTTTGTCAAATAAAAGAAACAAAAGCACAGACACCAAAACTACAAGCTAGTGAACGTAAACAAAAGCATAATAATAATAATAATAATAATAATAATAATAATAATAAACTAACTAAAAGTCCTTAAAAACTTTAGTTTTAATCAAAATAACAAAATAAAGGTGTGAGTGAATAGTATCAGAAGTGACTTTTCAGATTAAAAATATCCGCAACGTTAAAAGTGAACAGTATCAGAAATGTTTTATTAAAACTTCCTAAAAAAAAAAAAAAAAAAAAAGAAAGAATTTTCAAGATAGACTCGAGTCTATCCTGGTCTTTACGTGGTTTCATCACTGTGGGCCATGATTAAGTGATAGATTGATAGAGTGGAATCATTGTGGCTGAACTGGATTGTCCAAGGTCAATATAATTCGGCTCGAACGATAAAAACACACAGTGGTGACGATGATGATGATGATAGATGCATAAAGAATTCAATTAACCATTTAATAGTTTGAATTGACATATTAACATAGTGATGAACATAGAAAAGGATATATTAATTGACAGTTGGCATGAAAAAGAAATAAAGAGGCTGTCTTGAAAAACCAGTTTGTGAGATATTTCTGTCCAGATTTCGGGTCAATGTTCATTGGGCTCGTCAAGGAATGCTTTTCTTTTTTCCTTTTTTTTTTACCTTTTATCTTTATATATATTAGCATTTGCTTGTATACTTTGTATATATGAACACAATTTTTTAAAAAATGATAAGAAGAGAGGGAGGGAAAGAGAGAGAACGTAAGGGGTTTGAGAGGTTTTTGTTTTTTTTAATTTTTTTAATTTTTTAAATTTATTTTTAATATTAGATGTATTTTAACATCACCTATAGATGAGGTTTCAATAAAAAACAGTAAAATTTGAACCTGTGAAATTACATTATTGCCCATTATTTATTTTTTTTTTGTGATAGAAGACTAATTTATCTTTTCACCCTCTTTTGGTTGACAAAGAGAGTTTCATTAATGAGTAGAGATTAGTAGATACATACATATATATATATATATATAATTTTTTTTTCTTTTCCTTGTACAGGTACTAGCCTTTCTACACGCACCTTGCGCGTATGAAAGGCATTTTCTACATCATAGCGCGCTACGTGCGGCATACATAGTTCTTTTTTCCGTTCCACAATTCTGCACGCATAAAGAGATCTTTACAAAAACTTCAAAAAGCATACAAAATTTCGTTTGAAAAAGCTTGGCTACGGTTCCGATGTCATAACATCAATTTATATTTTTCGTAATCCCATTTAAAGTTGTCAAAGTCTATTCTACCAATTTAAGGTTGTCAAGGTTGTTGACTGAAGTCACCTGGGGAATAAAAAAAAACTAACTAGATTTTGTAAGACAAGTATCAGTACACTGTAATATCAATCACATTGATTTTTGTTTTGTTTAGTGAAATGAATAAGTCAAACAAAAACATTAGAGTTGGAAGTCCATACTCACTACGAAACCCACCAAATGACCTTACAAATATGAAATGTTGGCTAATTCTACAGATTTCCAATATGCCTTTGTGCTTGTTGACTTCTGAGGATGTTGATCCACATAGATGTTTAGAAATTCACCATTTATGATAAACAAACACATGGATACCTGAAAAACATCAAAGGAACAAACACAGATTCAACAATTGAGCACTAATTGAAGAAGAAATTGAACCGGTTAGAGAGAATCACCATTCTTCAACCGAATTGCTGATGTCTGCCTTGCTTTTTCTTTGTACTCTTTGTTTGGCTCTTTTATAACTTCAATCAATGAACATCCTCCTAATCCATAAAAGCAAGATTTTTGTACTTAAAAAACAAAAACAAACGCTTATAATTCGGAGTAGTAACCTGGAGAAAACAGACAGTGTCTTAAGTGTTGTTCTAAAACAAATGACAAATGCTTAATTTTTGTACGTATTTAACTCTTTTACACGTAGTAGTAATTGGCAGGAAATGTGTAACTTAAAATGAAGAGTATTCACAATGAAGAAGTAAGGATGATTGTCTAGCTTGAGGAATATATGAGTACCAAAGAGAAAACAGAGCAATAAAGACACATTTAAGCTTAGTACCTTTGAGGAATATGAGTCGATGAGTGCCTAATAAACATACAGGCTGGAAAATTATTTACTAAATAAGAACATGTCGGGGTCGCATTGAGTGGAAAATTAATTAGTAAATAAGAGTAAGTTGGGCTGAGAGTAAATAAGAGTCGCCTGGGCAGTTCATAATCATGTCGAATAAAAAGTATCTATTGTTGTCCCTCAGTGCAGCCAAATTGCAACACTATTCCAAAAAACACATCCGAAATTTAGAAACCCCAATTTTATTTATGCAATGAAAAATTAAAAAAAAAAAAAAAAGTAAATTACCACTGGAATTCTTTATGGAGAGAGCGAGTCTGAGTCTTCGGAGGATGCGATCGTAGTGGGAGAAGGGGCGGCCGAAGGCGACAAAAACGACGGCATTAGAGGTGGAGTGGGGAGGCTGAGAGAGAGTGCTTGAGAATGTGGTGGAGGGCGAAAGCGGCGCTGGTGTCGACGCAGTCTTTGAGGTGCACAACACCCTGGAGGGAATAGCCGGTTAATTGTGGGAGGTAACTGAGAAAGTGGGGGATTAATACGGTTGAGAATGATGAACACCATGTTTATTTTTTTCACTCACGTCTCTTTTTTTTCCTTTTTTCAGTTTTTTAAATAATTTGTTGTTTTTATTCCAAATTTTCTATTTTTTTGTGACAAAATTGCCCTTGTAAATTTGTTTCTATTATTTTCATTCAGTTTTGGATTTTTTTGTTTAAAGGGCTTTTTAGTCCAATTATTTTTGGTGAAGCCTTGAGACACCAAACTTGACTTCTGGCTTTCTAATATTAGAGATTAGAGATTAGAGATTAGAGATATGCAATATGTTCATCTTTTTTATTGGCTACTATTATTTCCCTTTTAAGTCGTTGAATTGAAATTCTAACGATAAAGAAAAAAAGGATTCAAAGATGCCCTTTTAAAAGGAAAACTCATTTAATCCTAAATTTCTGCTTATCCATTATTTAGTATTGAGTAATGAGGTTGATGACCTCTAATATAAACTATTTATTATCCCACAATCGACACCAAACTATTTAAGTTTATTCAAGGTTTTAGAAGGTGCTAGGTGTTAGTCGAGCAGTGGATAATGGTCTATCGACTAGGTAGGGCCTAGGTGGGCACCCATACCCTTTTTAATTAATTTTGTTATATAATATATAAATAATTGTTTACTTATATTTAAAAAAACATAATTGTATTGTGTTACAAAAATTATAAAACAAAATGACATAGAATATAAAGTATTAGAACATATTAAAACCATGTGGAACAAACATGCATTAAGTGTTCATCCAAGTTTTAATCTGAGCAGTAACTAGCCGCCTAGCGCCTAAGTGGTATTAAGTGAATTTTTTTAGAACAACATGTCTATTCAATCAAACAATCGGAAATAAATAAGTCGCTTCTTTATAAACTATTTGTTATTCCACAACCGAAAACAAGCTATTTGAGCTTATAGTGATCCACTCCCTTACTCATTTTTCCATATTAAAATAGAATGATGTCAATCGGTATCAAAAGTTTGGTGTGCACTAAATGTTATAACTAATATATCATGATACAACAGAAAAATAAATATAATTATTTTACTAGTGATACAATGTAAAATACAACCTAAAAAGGGGCCTACCAATATATGCAATTATAGTTTTAAAGAAAATAAATAAAACCCATGAACGTGACATCACATCATGCTAGAAGCAAAATGCCAAATTTAAAAATCTTTGGTAATCTCTTTATCAAGTTGGTGTCTTGTTACACTTAATTATTGTTACTTTTTTTATTTATGATTACGTAATCAAAAACGCTTTTTATTTGTCAAATTTTTTTCACATTTCTATGGACATTTTCAAATGGGTAATGTTAATGAGACTAAATTTAGAAGCAAAATTTTAAAAACTAAAGAACATGAAAGTAGATGATTGATTTTTTACTCCAACGTTGATAAACGTACTTATTTTTATTGGTAATACATCATTTAACTTGCAAATTTAATATTTCTAATATTACTGTAATAATTCTGGTCGTAGTCGTACCAAGAGACTAGCAAAGATCGTGAGAGTAGTGCTTCCCCACTATTATTTATTTAATTTTGTTTAAATAATATTGCGCGTGTTATTCGGGTGCCCGTTAACAAACATCCTGTCTCTCGCTCTCTCTGTGTCTAGAGAGTCAAGGCTCTTCCTTTTCTTCGTGCCTCAATATGTTTGACAAATCTACGTCGTGATGATTGGTGAATGGTAGTCACCCAATCCGAACCCGAATCCGAATCCGAATGCTGATGCTTCTGCTTCTTGTTTCTTCTGGGTTCCTGTGATCAATCGCTCCTTCCTCCATCATCCTGCTTTCTGCAACACATTTTCCGTCCCCTGTAAAAACTGCGAACGAGAAAGAACAAAAAACCCAGAAAACGGAGCTGAGCATTCATATTTCTTCATCGAAAACAAGAGCCCCAGGACGCAAAGAAAGAACAGAAATCGGGTTGTTGCATGGAAGATGAAGTCCTCCTCTGTAAGCACGGATCACCTGTTCGTCTTTCACTCCCTTAATACTGATATTGTAATTTGTAATTGGTAATTGGTAGTGAACATATTGATTATAAAGACAGATACTTGTATGCTTTTCTTGTTTTTATTGGGATTTTTGGGGCTGTTAGATATATCGAATTCATCGTTCCTTGTTCGAATTCCTCTGCACATATTTTCCTGACCATTGGATTTGGAGCTACCGAGCATAATTGAATAGCGGTTGGTTAAGAAATATGATGAGGATGCATGCTTTCTTGTACATAATTGATCATCACTTCTGTTTCTTCAATGAATTTTGTAATTATTAGTTTAATTTATGATTAGCGGTCAGAAAGTAACAATAAGTAGGTAATTAGGACATTTGTTCTAATTTCTTTGCAGATAACTTGGTTACAAATTGTATTTTTTTTTACCTCTTTTTCCAGCCATCTAAATTGTTTTGACATGTTTTCTCCAATTTTTCGTTGCCTTCTCCTGTCAGGTTACTTTTCGTGCAGATTCGAGAAGCGGAAAATCGTGTTTTTGTAGTATTCTCCCGGCAGCTTCTCTGCTGTGTATATTATTTGTCATAGTGAGTGCATACATATCATCATCAGATTACAAAGAGGTATGTATGTATGCGTGTACGTATATCAACTTTTAGTCCCGAATCCAATCTGTATTTTCTGTGTGAACTCCGATATCTAAGCTTATAAATTATCAGTTTTACCGGCCTGAACATTGGAATTGAAAGTTGAGTTGGTGTTGACATAATCGCTTCAATTTTGCGTTCTATTGCACAGGATTCATCGTCATTTTGGAAAGTCACAAACAATTTGCAAACTCTAAAATACAAATGCAAGGTTTGTTTATCATTCAGGTTCCATACATCTTTCCTATCAAATGAGTTGTTGTGATTTATTACTTATAACTTCTTGTATCTGTTTTAGAATCAAGATAAGCCTTACGGAAGTGAGCCACTTCCTCGAGGTATTGTTGCCAAGACTTCTAATCTGGAAATGCAGCCGTTGTGGCATGCTAAAAAGGTAAGGTTTTTGGAAACGGAAGCTCCTGAATCATTCACCTGATGATTCTGTAACTTTGCATCCTGCTGCTCCAATTGGAAGTGCTGCAGGCTTATCTAAATTTTTAACTGTTACACTGTTTGCCCAGAAACCTTCGTTTAAATTGTTGGAGAAGAAAGATGCAAATTCTTCATCCAGTTTGTTTGCCATGGCCGTTGGGATAAAGCAAAAAGATCTTGTTAGTAAAATGGTCAAAAAGGTATGTCCTATAAAACAATGCTCACAAAGGTAGTCCAAATTAAGTGCTGCTGATAATTCTTTTTCATTGTTCATAGCTCTTTACAAGTAATTGCTTTTCGCTCACCATGTTTCAGTTTCTGTCAAGTGGTTTCGTTGTGATGCTCTTCCATTATGATGGCATCGTCGATCAATGGAAGGAATTTCAATGGAGTGACCAAGTCATTCATATATCTGCAGTCAATCAAACTAAATGGTAACTAATTGGTCTTACTCTTTATCTTTGCATGCCTGAAACCAGTTAAGTCAAAGCTGCAGTATTGAAATGTGATCTTCTGGTTGATGCCTAGGTGGTTTGCGAAGCGCTTCTTGCATCCTGACATAGTTGCCGAATATAGTTACATTTTCCTCTGGGATGAGGACCTCGGAGTTGACAATTTCCACCCCCAACGGTATGTACATTGTTGGCCGGCTGCATCTCTTTTCTCAACCTTGTACATTATACCGACATTAAAACTTGGAAGCTACTTACTGGTTCTTAATCCCATTTTGTCAACTTGTTATTTAACACTACTGTTAGGTACGTATCCATTGTTCAAAAGGAAGGGCTTGAGATATCACAACCTGCACTGGATTATTCCAAATCAGAGGTGCATCATCAAATTACTGTGCGTTTGAGAGGATCGGTAGCACACAGGTCTCTTATAACTGCTAAATGATGAACTCCCTTGAGGCATATTGTTGAATGTTGACATATGAGTTAATTTCAAGAACCCTTAATTTCAAACAACTTGATATAGTTCATGTTGTATCTGCAGAAGGACTTACAAGTCAAGTAACAATGGGAAAGGTTGTCACGACAGCAATACAGCTCCTCCTTGCACTGGGTAAAAACTGTGTTTCCATTTGATTGCTCAAGACAATTCCATTGGTAATTTAGTATTGTAGTTGCAGAAGTCGTCCACTAAAATAATGCAATGCATTTTCTGCAGTTGGATAGAAGTGATGGCTCCTGTTTTCTCTCGAGCTGCCTGGCGCTGCGTATGGTATATGATCCAGGTGGGTGTGTTAACTTATTTCTATTGTCCTGCCTCCTGGAACTCAACTCAAATACCTATTTTTCTCTTCGCGTGAGAGTAGAGTCAATGGCGGCTTAATTTGCGCCGGTTTGATTATGTTAATTGCAGAATGACTTGATTCATGCTTGGGGACTAGATATGCAGATTGGCTATTGCGCACAGGCAAGTTCTTATACTTCCTTTGCCCCGATCTTCTGCTGTTTGCGGAACAAACAGACCCGCATTCTTTCTGTGTTTGATTTTGAATGTATATGTAATGTTGTAATAGGGGGATCGAACTAAAAAAGTTGGGGTTGTGGATGCCGAGTACATAATCCATTACGGCCGCCCTACACTGGGGGGATCCTCAGATGATCAAAGTGATCAGGTGACGAAGGATAAAATTCGTTGGCAGGAATCGTCACCATCATCAAAATCCACAAGAAAGGGCCACAGAGCTGATGTAAGTCTCTTGACGGTTGGCACGATAGTATTGTATTTAACGTATAGTCTTCATTGGATTGATTAAACGGTTTTCGTTTCTTCATGTTGTTAATGTTGCAGGTGAGGCGGGAATCGTACAACGAAATGAAAGTGTTCAGAAGGAAATGGGAACGAGCCATCAAGAATGATAAATGTTGGATCGATCCCTACAGGTAGCCAGTAATTGGTTAGTGCTTGAGCGCTCCTATCCTATATATGAATATCGACATCCATCGTCCTTCATTTGGAGGAAGCTCAGAGCGCAGAAGATGGTTTAAAATTTGGAGGATCATTATCCAAAGCAAGGTTTTAAGTCCCCCGAAATTTTCCTTTTTTTACATAGTTGACACGTAAATGTGAACATAGATAGAAACCAACTCCACTTTATACTTGAGAGAGGCTTGGCTGGCCGGCCTCCTGTATATTGATGACAACTCCTTCTCTTGATGCTGATGATCTTGTTGTACTAGCACCGTCCGATTGAGCTTACAACGTTGCCTAGAGATGGCTTGTGGTTTAATTGAAGGTTCCTTCTGTCATGAGTTACACTACTACTAGTACCACTTGCTAGTTTTGAGTTTACTCGATAGACTTGTCATACTGCCCTAACCAACAGGACTAACGCTCGTTTAGTTCACTGGTCAAATGAATAAATGAAACATGACCTCAGTTGGACCAGTGACCAGCAAGGGAGGGAAGTTGAGAGGAAAACAAGGGCAAGCACTTTGAGCAGCACATGGGTTGTTGGCATGTCGCCCCATACAACTATGTCATCACAATATGCAAAGTCAATGAGATTCCCTTTATTCCCCCAAAACACTCTCATCAAGACACCAAAATCAGATCATGTGGCTCACTGCCCATGCCTAAAAGGACTCTTTGATTCCATACTGTCATACATTTTAACATTCTCGCATGACATTGCGTGTTCAACTTAAAATACCATTACAGTAGCATCCCCGTTAGATGTAAGCTAAAAACCCTAAACACAAACTTTTGGTGCATTGAGACTTGCATTTCACGCAACAATCTACACGAGGATATAGAAAAAACCAGCAAATTCCAAGCAATAAAAGTTATGCAATTAATATCCATCCAAGAATTGTAAAACTACCATCTCAACATCATGGAAGCAAAACTTAGTGGCGATGGCTTAATTGCCCCCCATACCCCCACCCAACCCAACTTCCAGCTACATGCATTAATATTCATCACACTAACTCATCCCACCTACTGTTCGACTAAAATCTAATCTACTTAATTCTCCAATCTCCACCACCAACAATATCCAATCTCCCATCTGTTGCAGGTAACTCAGAAGCCATAGCTAAGCAAGGAGAACTCTCTCTCTCTCTCTCTCTCTCTCTCTCTCTCTCAAGTATCTATATGCCCAATGAAATGCTTGAAATTACAGACAGAAAGCAACAATTTATAGCAGATGAAATGAAACCCTCACATTCTGTAAACATCAAGTGGAAAACTAGTAAACATCAAGTGGAAGCAGCAGAAGAAAACATTAGTAGCAACCACTTTCATTTAAAAAACGTGAACTAAAACTCATCACAAATTAATAGAATATCAGCACAAGACTAAAATAATAGAACATGGGAGTTGAACCTTAATCCTTGTCACAGAGTGTCACTCACAGTAGCTCTACTGAGCACTTACATTAATATATTGTTTTGGAAAGTCAATAAAATATCATTAAGAACCCCAAATAGCTCCATTAACAAGGAAAATGTTCCCTAAATTGCCTCACAACTATGCTAATCCTATCTCCAGGCACTGCTTATTCCACCAAAAAAAAACAATGGAAAATTATCCCACTAGATATAGAAATAAGCTAACCTGGAAATATAAATAAATTTCATAACTTCTAAGCAAACAAATCAAGAACAGATATTCTTTTTCCCATCCAGACTCCCAACAAAATCAAACATTACCCCTAATTAAACAATTTTTAATTATAAAATTATAAAATATAGAGAGGAAGAGTTAGATACGGCATCCAAAGCAATTACAGGTCTTGGGTGTGAAAGAACAGAAACCGAAAGGCCTGTTTGGAATGTTGCAATTGATGGCATAGCAACAAGGAGAAGGCAAGCAAAGACCTTTGGCACCTCCACAACAAGTACACAATGCACAAATCCGGAAGCTCCCCAACTTCCTCCTGGTCTCATTCATCACCAAAGTCTTCATCTTTTCAGCTCCGATCAGTGGCACCAGTGGCCCCACAGCTGCAGACCCATTGGCCTTAAAAGTTCAAAACAACAAACAAGCACTTCAAATCACAGAAAACCCAGAAAAAAAAATCATGACCCATTTGACAAGCAAAAGTACAGGGATCTATGAAATTGAAAGGAAAGTTGGGGGGTCTTTGAAGCGAAACACTCACATGGTCTAAGCTTGCTGCTTCAGTGGTGGAGATAGCGGTAGCCAAAAAGGACAGCAGGAGGAGAGAGAAGGTGACCCCATGAGCACGAGCAGGCATCATGAATTGCTTCTTGAGATGGGTGCTACTTTGGTGTGAGCTTTGAGAGGCAAAAGGTCATGGGAATTTGGTAAAAGAGTGTGAGCTGGGAAGTGGGTCCTTGATCTTTTCTCTTGAGCGGCCTTTGAATTCGATTTGGTGGATCATTAATGTTATGGTAACAAGGGTCCGTAATGGGTATTTGCTTTGAGCTGCTTGATTTGGTAAGTTTGGGTTTGGGGTTGAGGAATTGGAAAATCAAACGTAAAGAAATAGCCTAGAAAGGGAGTCGACTGTGGGAGTGGTTTTTAGTTGGGTTTGGGAAAAATTAGGAACAAGGGAGGATTGATTATGTGCAGTACAGGTACGAGGGTTTCTCTTGTCGGACCAAAGGTGCGGACCATCCATGCAGACCAATATTTAACAACGAGTCCGGATCCCTTTCCACCAAATCCATCTAGTCCAGGATCCGGACTGTTGGATTTTGATCAAACGGCTAGTTGGCGGAAGTGGGGTAGCGAGGAATGAATGATTGGATTTGGACATCCAAAGTGAATGAACGGTTTAGGTCATGACATTTATTTGGTCAAATGATGTCAACAATAAACCTGATAAAAAAACATATAAAACAAATTACAAGATGCATACAATATATTTTGAACTCTTTTTTATCCCACGACTCATCCTTCCCTACAATTTTCTATTTTTATCAAACTTTTCATTACAACTTACAAGGCTTCAAGTAATACCCGCGAAAAATAAATCATAACATGAGAAAATTTGGGATTTGGGATGGACAGAATGTTCACATTGGGTTTTCCAAGTGACAACATTTGGAGATGTTTTATACAATGCAGCAATGTGAAATTCAGAAAGTTGAATCTGTCAGCTGAATGCATTTTCAGGACATAATCAACTTCAATTTACAGATATCATACCAGACTCTTCTTTATCCCTCAAAAGATTGTTAATGTAAATGGCTCGCTTTCGAGCCGCTTTTCACTCCTCTGTGTCAATGTTATCCTCAGCACTAGGCATCTGCCTCGGCTCTGACAATGAAAGTCTCCTGGGCTTTGCTGATCCTGCTTCGACTAGCCCTTCTGATGATAAATTTAATGAAGCAGCCCCCGACGTTGAACCCAACAAACGCCGGGCTGGGGCATCAGCCGAAGATGATGCAGAGAGATTCAAAGTGAAGATACCCATAGGGTGGTTGAACTTGCAACTTGGTCCAAACTTACAGATACCATAACGAGAATAGAAGATGCACAAAGGTTCTCCCTGTTAAAAAGTGTACCAGATTCATCGTGTAAAATGTCACCAAGTTAGACTACTTAATGAAAGATGTAATAAGAGCACACAACTAGTTTCGAAACCATAGCTCAAGTTTATAACCAAACTCCAACAGTAAAAGTAACTCACCGGTCGTAAAGGAAGGCCCATTGGACTCAAAACACAGTCTGGAGCAGGAATTAACCTCTCCCTAGGATGATGGAATCTACAGACTGCACCAAACTTACAATCGCCGGTCTTCATATAAAACTGGCACTCAGGCTGGCCAGGTCTCTCAGGAAATACATTTTCCCTTTGCAATGCATAGAACCCCACAGGGATGGAACCGGAACTGTAAGGAGAAAAGCCCCCTTGAGATCCTGAATTTTCCGGTTCACCTTGGTGTGAAGTTCCATACATCTGACTGTTTCCCACTGTTTGTTGCTGACTCTCTGGAGATGAAACGGAGCCAACTTGGCCCTGCAAAAATTACCAACAAAATAAGCGTGTTGATTGTGCTCAGGGAACCATAGCGCAAATATACTATTGAACTCAAACTCAAAAGCTGCTGCATTAGAGCTTTTCTGATGGAGTGCAGTAAAAGAAATTGCAAACCATTTGATTTTCATCTTGTTTTCTTCTCATGAGATAGATTTTCAAACTATTATTTGTGCAGTAAGATCAACAATTTTAAACACACATGCATATAACTCCGATTAAATTGATTCCGAGACAAACAATAACTAGTTGCACCCTTACCTGCAATCATAAGGTAAAACAAGAGCATCAAAGCATTTTGCACAGAAGGGTACAATAAAACTTACACTGTATGTGTTCCATCCCGGGACTGATACCACTCCTTGAGGAACAATGAGAGGAGCATAACTTGATTGAGCTTGCCAGCGTGGACTGGGAATAAAAGATGCTCTTGACCAATTTGTAATTCCTCCCGCATACGACTGCTGGCCAGGAGTAGTTGGAGATTGGACAGTAGGATATACAGGAGAGGCGCCCACTGAAACCATCATATTAGTAGGTTGGGGATGGTGGAATTTACAAGTGCTTCCGAACTTGCATTGTCCAGTTCGTAAATAATAAGCACATTCGACCTCATTCTGCTAAAAACAAAGAACAAAAAGTAAGGAATTTATCGTACCAACTAAGATGCACACAAAGATCTACAAAACAATCTCTAAAGCAGATATGCATAGACATTTATAGATGTACAGTATGCCTTAACGAAAAATGTGCAGCAGCAGTTATTGTTCAATTCTACAATTACTTCAAATATACAGATAGTATACAAACAACATGGCCACCACACATATTCAAGTATAGAGTAAAAGTGGAACACTCGGTCCTAAGACGAAATGGTTTCTCCTCTAGCATATGGGTGATTCTTAAATCATTATTTTGTGTCACACTACTTGTAAAATTCACCACATCAACACGATTGGCGAGTCCCCTGTCTGTCCGTCATTCAAGTAAAGCAAAGAGAACGGAAATGAACAAATGAAGTGAAAATGGCACAATAATGAGATGAAAACAGAAAATCAAACCGGTCGAAGTGGATAGCCTAAGATATTTAAGGCAACTCTTCCAGCCATTCCCGCCTTGTCTCTAGGATGATGAAACTTGCATGTTGCTCCAAACTTGCAGGTTCCTGTCTTCAGGTAGTACTGCAGGGAAGTTTAACAAATATTATTGAAGTCAGACCAAAATTACACGACCGACCTTCCACAGAAATACATGCCTGACACTCTGGTTGTCCAATTCTTTCGGGGAACTCTCCCTTCATCCTTGCAGCGGCAATAGCCTGGCAATAAACAGAATCTTATTATACAGACATAATTTCAATCAAATTGAATGAAATTATTAAACTTTAGACACGAAGCATACTACCCTTGTGCTAAAAAGTATTGAAGAAAGATTAAAGATTACTAAACTCATAAAAAATCGCGTAAACATGGTGAAACTATACCAGCTTGCGGTTAGGTGGATGATTAAAGCGACATGTCGCCCCAAATCTACAAAGTCCTGTTCTGATGTAATAAGAACAATCTGGCTCTCCAGTACGCTCGGGATAGGGCCCGGCTTCCATTGTTTCACTTGATCTCAAATTCATTTGCCACATTGCATCTGAAATAACATTTCATAACTAAGTTCGTTACATTGTGTCATACAAACTCATCAAAATTCAAGTGAAAGGCATATTTTTGACGAGTCCATTTCGTCTGCATTCTGTTACCACTTGTATGCCTTAAGAAGACAATCAAGCAAATAAATTGTGCCTTAAACTGGTAATTAAATTCAACATTGACATTGCATTTTCTGTTTAAATTGGTTCTGAAATAACGGTTCTCATAGCGATTTTCGTGCTATAACAATTACTGTGTTTAAATCGTCACGGAATGGCTAAAACTTTGGTAAAACAAAACAAGAGGCAACATTCTGTAATCATTCGAGAACCGGAAAAAAAAATCAGATTAAAAAACAAAAAAAACATGCGAATTCAAGTCCTGGGAATCGAAATTGACGAAGCTGAAGAAGATTTGAAGCATTGATCACATCTGAATTGAGCTATTGAGAGGTCAAAAGGGACAATTCGCATCGGCGGAGGCAGCAAACGTGATTGGGGAAACAAGGAAACAATGGCGAAACAAAAGAGAAACAGAAACAGAGAAAACAACGACAATTATTGACATACAAAGACAAATGCATGTGCGTTGTGTTATGTAAGAGAGAGGGAAAGATGACCTTGGGTCAAGGAGGGTGACAGTGAGCGAGCGTCGGTGACGGGCGCGGCAGCACGAGACATGGGAATTCCGGCATCGAAGTCCATGGCTCCGTCGCCGGCGAGAGAGAGACAGTAAGTTAAGTCGTCAGCAGCAGCACCACCACCACCACCTGGCCGTCACTCTAGCAAACCCCACCGGAATTCCCATTCATTCACTCAACCCCTCCCCCTCAACTACCCGGCACTCTACCCAAATCCCCCTCTCAACGATCAGACACACACACTATATCTCTCCTCTCTCTCCCCTCTCTCCCTCTCTCTATCTAAACCAGACCAAACCCAGACCAAACAAAGAAAACAGAGAGCCAAATTAACAAGAATAACAGCTTTCTAGAGAGAGAAACTTTTACATGGAGAGAGAGAAAGCAGTTTTAACAGAGAGATGATGAGAGGGACAGAGAGAGGAGAGAGAGAGCGGTGTGTTCTCCTCTCCACAAACGAGAAGAGGAATAAAAACCAACCATCTCTCAACCAGACAAGCTTTTTCACCCGCGTTTTGGCAATAAACGGACCAAACCCCACACTACTTCCCTCCCCCGCGACTGCCTCAGCTCCTATACTCGCTCTCCCCGCTCCACGCGTGCTCCTCCTCCCTCACCATTCCCCTTTGCTTTTGCGTTTTTGCTCGACGTCAATGCCCTCAGCCAATTTTTATTCGACACGTTGTCGGCTTGCGCCGCGAGTAGGTTCCACTCTCTGGGCTGCGAATATGCGCTTCCCCCAAACCGGATACCAGAAACTCGGACCGCTTTCTGTAACCGCTTTTACTATTTCCAGCTTATTTCTTTATATTTTCCACTGTCTGCTCTCCCTCCCATTTTTTATTTATTTTGATTTTCAATTTTTTTAATAATAATCGAAATCTTACTAATTACTTTTTTTATTTTTTAATTAAAAGTGATTAGCTAATGATTTCGTCATGACAACCCATTTTTTTTGAGAGCTTTAAAAACTCACATAGATATTTAAGTGATATATTAATAAGAAAATAGTTGTAATTATATTCTTTTATTAATATGAAGGAAAGTAGTTGAGATATTAAAAAGGTTTCTAGACCAAAAATAGTCAAATGCATGCATGGTTGACGAATGAGTTTTACCATCGACAGAATATACAATTACGAAACGATGGGTCTAGGGGTCCCTCCTCTTTATATTTCTATATGCCCGTCAAGAAAACTAACACAATTTTACACGATCTAAAAAGTGTTTATAAAAATAAATTTAAACTACATTTTTGTTAGTTCGCAGACATAACATACTTAAAATGCAACAAAGTCTTAGTGTCTCGTTTTGATGTCTTCAGCAACTAAATCCAACGAGGAATAGTCACCATGCAGGAATCCGATGATCTGGACAACTGAGAGGGCGTCACCCTCAAGCTCAATCTGTCACTCGAAGGCCAGCTGGCCACCCTCCTGGCAACTTGAAACTTCACCACGTCAAGGCTCGTCACGTGAGATATTTTTCAAACAAAAACCGCTTCATAACGAAATGTTACACCGACACGCCAATTTTAATAACATCACAACAAACTCTATCAGCATTAAATTTCATCCACTACAAAGAATAACGAAAACTTTAAGACGAAAACGAAAAGAGTGAGCATTAAAAGAAGGAAGAATCACAATAATTAAGGTGAGATGATCAAGCTTAGAAAAAGGGTTATGTAAATGTACTATAAATATGGTTTTTGTGCCCTCTAAAAAGGGTAACCATGCATATTTGTTTTAGTTATTTAACCATCAGATCATGTCTAGCTACTCCCTGCTAATCCTGTAAAAAGCAACATGTCAATTTCTCCCACTTTATGCTATGCAATGGATTTATTTACTTTCGGAAGCTCTTCTAATTTGTTTCTGCCTTAATTTTGGTACTGAGATTTTGCACCTTTACATCCCTTCTTTGCATTATTGGCTTAGACAAAGTGGTCGTTCTGCTTGCTCAACGTATGAGTTCGACTCGCCACCAACGTTCGGTGGTGCTAAACATGACAAGATTTGTTGTAGGCTGCTGCTTATTTAATTAGTAAAGCTCTCATGCTTTTACTTTTATAATAGTTGCTTGACGAATGCCGTTGTCAAGACATCCATCTATTTTTGGAGTAGGATTTTTTTCCCTTCTATTCCCATCATCTTCTCTTCCTTCCTCTCACACATTGATTTTTGTCTTATTGTCTCTATAAAAAAATCAATATAAGATGTTGACGTGGCTTAACCGTGACTGTTCAAATAGAAGGGGAGAGAAGGGAAAAGAGATTAGGAGGGGAGATAATCATATTCCTATATTTTTCTAGCTAAATCTATTACCTATGCACCATTTGCATAATTATTTAGAGCGGTTATTGTTTTGTTGAGCGAGTAGATTATCTTTTTTTAGTGGATTTAACGATGACATGATAGTATATTGAGTTATTTGTTGGATCGATGCCTTCCAGTTTGTCCTCTTTTGTAACCGAATAAGAAAAAAAAAGAGTTATTTCAGGCACTTTATATAGAGTCGTTCATTACTCGTTTATATATATTTTTAAATTAAATTAAAAATAGAATAACTAGAAATTAGTACACCAAAAACAAACAAAATACATACATAAATGAAATGAGTGGGCGTGGGAGTAGTGAAAGTTGGAGGGAAAAGAAGGGGAAATTTGGTGGCAACACGAGAAATCCGCTGGGCAGTAAGAGGAGAGAAGAGGCGGGGGCCGTTTGAAGTCTTAACCGGCGGAGATTCACTTCGTTTTCACGATTCAAAAGTGGCGGCAGCTCGAACGCATTCCCCTCAAACCTGATTGGTCGAGCGGCTCATCTGGGTTGGGTTGGGCCCAGTTTTGGGCCCTCACTGGCCTTTCCTTTTTTTTTTGGTTTTGCAATCGCATCTTTTTTTTTTTTTTTTGAAGAGGGACAAAAAAAGAAGATGATTAGAAGTGTACGCATGGACGATTTCTATTTGTCCTTTGGCCTTCGTTTTTATGCAATGAGCTTTCTTCTACCCTCTCACACCAATTTGGTTGGTTGCAGATGCTTGGTGGAATTGCCAAGTGGCCCTCCCAATTGATCCATTATTTCCACTTCCAATTGAACAGCGATGACTCGTGTGTTTGTGTTTGTGTATGCATTGATCTACTATACTTCACCATAATAAGATCTTCATACAGTGCCTTACATCTTTTATATTTGATATGCATTTGAATTTTAACATTTTTAAACGACTCAAAGTACAATTATGTTATTTTATTATTACTATTTGCAAGACTCGGTCCATGGCAACGTATAAATTAGTTGATTTGTCTATGATTTGCGCGTATACAAGCACAATGAACGTGATAATAAGATCTTCATACGGTGCCTTACATCTTTTATATTTGATATGCATTTGAATTTTAACATTTTTAAACGACTCAAAGTACAATTATGTTATTTTATTATTACTATTTGCAAGACTCGGCCCATGGCAACATATAAATTAGTTGACTTGTCTATGATTTGCGTGTATACAAGCACAATGAATGTGATTCACAAACTTTCTCTTTAAACTGAACATACAATAAACGTGAACAAGTACGTGCTTTATGCGCAACTTTAATAAGGCCGTTTTACCTAATGACGTATGAATTCCAACTATAGATTACTTGTGCGTTGATTGCTTATGTGAGAATGAAAACATAAGGGAGTCCCACACCATATCATGAATTCAACTTCTGACTAGAAATTGGACTCTTGAAAGAGACCTAATTATTGTGAGTTTGTAAATATCTTTACAAAATCAATAATGTAATTTAGCACACAAAATCATCTATAACATTCTCTAATTAATATGAACTTTACTATAGCATGTGACACTGAGAATTATTCATTTGAAATATTGTATTTTCTTATTAATGCATTTGAAATGAAAAGTTAGTGCAGGCTAACTCCATTATATACGGCAGTTTGAGGTAATTTTCACAATTTGGTCATGTAGTTTTACATTTGAAATCATATCAATTTATACATTCAATATGTTTAATGTTGTTGATAATTGGAAGTTTACAATATCGTCAAAGTAATATAGTGATAAGTAGAGTGTCGTTCAAACAAGGATCGGATTAACCTAAATTTACTATTGAGATTGACTTCAAGCTAAACTTAAATAAAAGAAGGATTACGATAACAACTTCAAATATGCAAAGAAACGAAACGAAAGTAAAAATAATAATTGATCGAACATGAAGTTAAAGTGAATGAATTATGCAAGATTAATATATGGAAGCACTAGGACATCAAGTTCCTCATTCTCAATCTCATCTAATCCCGTTATTCATATTAACATCAAATTATTCCCATGTTACTAGCAATTATCCCTTGATTCATCAACATTTCCTGTCAGAATATATTAACCGTGTTTCTAACTATCCACCCATGCTATGTCTAGCCACAAATATAGATAACCGAAACCCTTTACGCTCAATGGATAATTACGCGATACTACACAAAACATAACCAGTACGTCTACTTAATTATGTAATTCATGGTAGTTGTTATGAGAAGCAATCTACTAAACTCAACATGTCAGTCACAATTTAGTTATTCACACAAATAATAGCCAGTTATTTGATAACGATGAAACACAATAACAATTACTCAACATGAAAAATAAATAAGATTAATATATAATAACGAGAATTATATGTTTATGATCAGAGTACACCTAGTCATAGCAAAAGGACTTAGTTCATGATTAAACTAATGACAAACATGAATGAATTCAATAAGAAACCCAAAACTCCAATTCTGTATTCGTGTGCGAGTATGTCCTGAAAATCTGCAATCTTCTTCCCTAGAGGCACACCCGGATTCGGCTCTCAATCTTCTCCTCTTTTACGGGGCTGGGTTCTCCTTCTTTTTTATATTTTATCCTCGTCTGCCTCCAAATGAGGAATTAAAGTCCTTCTCCTTGTTGGAAAAGTCCAACCGCCACTTTTTATGAAGCCCAAATTGGACTTATTTGATGAAGCCCAAATTCCAGCACAACTCTCACATAGCAGAAGTTCACTTCGTTATTCCTTCATACTTTCCTTATAATTCTTTTTAAAAATCCATATTTATTTCCGACTATTATTTCTATAAAACTCACACAAAACACATCAAACTCCCCAATTTAATACAAAATCATGATCAGATAATAAGTAAAAGAGGTAGAAAACATGCATATAAGATCACCCTAACATTTAACCTTGTGACAATTATATAAATGTGAAATTAAGTCTGTTTGAACATGTGGTCAATCGTTAAATTGATGATACAGTATATATGAAAATCATCATTAGGATAATGTATAAGTCAAATTGACACCAATAAAACCAAATTGTGCGATTGATTCGCGTTATATTGCAAAGTATCAAAACTCTGATAGTTTGAGAAGAGAGTCCCTAAAGAAGAAGAAAACATATTACTAATACGATTTAAAAACGTCGTCCCTTTTTCACTTTATTCTGGGGTCAAACCTTCCACTATTTAAAATTTTTAATATGTGAAACCTTCATACTCGTAGAGATCTTCGCTTTCAGCAAAGATCTCTCCCTCTCCGTCTCTCGTCAGATCTCTCCCATTTCTACAGGCTTTACGTAGGATCTCAGTAAACCACTAAGCAAGGATTCAGATCCATTTTCCTGAGAAAATCCTCCCTAAACTTTTCCCCTCTGATTCCATCGACTACCCATCGCAGCTTCAGAGTTCAGACCTTCCAATTTCTGCAGTCATGGGGTTTCGCTCGATTCCCAGAACGATTGCGTACTCCCTCCCCCTCCTCTTGCTCCTCCTCCTCGCGGTTTCTGCTCAGGTAGCTCTCTCTCTCTCTCTGTATGCATACATATAGGTATATATGATTCTAATTGTGGTGATTTGTTGGGTGATTAGGAGTCTGGGGCTGAAGCTGAGAGGGGAGGCTATGGGGGATCCAAAGATCTGGGCCGTCGTAGCAAGGTTTGACAATCACCCTCTCTTTATCATCTTACAATCTCTTTGGTTACTGAGAAAATGGATCAGAAACGAAGACATTGAACATTCCCTAACCATTATTTATCTGATGGGTCATGTTTCTGTTCTCTGATTGTAAGCAAGTTACAATGTGATACTGCAAGACCTGTTTAGAGTGGGGGAGTTGGTAGCTTGTATAAAATTCAATTGTATGTTCATCGAATTAGGTAGTGTTGCGTAAAGTAAGTTTGTTATTTGATTTGATTTGTAGTTTGATGCTTTAGAAGCTTGGATACAGTTATTTGGAAGTGGCGCGTTGTAGGTCTGAAATTTGGACGAAACTAAACTGAATTTGGTTCTTTTGCGCAACATTAGTATTCATTTCGTTTATATTTTCATGCTTTTGATGGGGTACTTGGATTGGATTTTTGTAACTTGTATGCCTAACACTCAATTGTATTTTTTAAATGGAAAATTCTGTATGTTGTTCTTTGAATTTCTTCGTTAATACTACATCAATTTGTCTGTACAGATAAAATTTGGTATTCTTGAAGTTAATACTCTTGGAGTCAAGACAGAGGGTGACTCAGTTGCTATCGGCCTCCACGTGGACTCAGGTCTTGGAGTTTTCGATGCCTTTGTTGCAAGCTTGTCAATGATACTAGTTAGTGAGGTTTGTGCACAAACTTTCCAATCTTGTTTAGGTAAATTTTAGTTTGAAAGTTGTGGTAATTTATGGGAGGTTCTCACCTCCTTGTTCTGTTAGTAATCAGTAATCCCATAATAACAGAATGAAATTTGATGGCCTGGAACCAAGTCAAGTGTATATAAACAAATGATCGAGCTTGCATGGTGGTGCTATTTTTGTTTTTATGTTTTTGAACCTGTTTAACAAAGAGAGCTATGTTGTTTAAACTAATATTTTTCCCAATTGATAACTGCTACTAGATTGGAGACGAAACATTTATAATAGCAGCTCTTATGGCAATGCGTCACCCCAAGTCAATTGTCCTATCTGGTGCACTTTCAGCCTTGTTTATAATGACGGTAAGTTATCTGATATTTCAATATGCAATTTGTTTCCATGGTGTTGTAACAAAACGGTTTCAAGAACTGAAAAGTGCAATTTGTTACTATTTATCTGATCGAGATTTAAGTTTTGTGTGTGTCAATTAGGTACTTTCCACTGGACTTGGTAGGATTGTGCCAAACTTGATATCAAGGAAGCATACAAATAGTGCAGCTACAGGTAAAGCTACCCATTCTTTTTGTTACTTGACCACTAAAAAATTTTATGAGAATTGGATCTTTCATTTTTTTTTTTTTGGCAATAGAATCATAGACACATGTTCTTGCTTCAATGTTTGATGGTAAATCGAGTTTTGTAATTCTATTTTCTTTGCAGTTCTATATTTATTTTTTGGACTGAGGTTACTTTACATTGCTTGGAGATCATCTGATTCTAAATCTTCCCAGAAGAAAGAAATTGAAGAAGTAAGTTTATGATATGTTTTCACTTTTTAGCCTTTTAACTGATTTGTGTTTATTTATGATCTCTAGATAGATGGATGGTAAACTAGCAAATGATTGGTGCCTGTACTACCCAGTTTTGGATCATAATATTCAACTTTAGATTGGATAAAGCAATATTTAAATTATTTCGAGAATTGTTTTGATGCTTTTGAATGAACATGTGAACAAGGGAGGTCTTCAGAAACCTCCGAAAAAAACCTCATCTGTATAGTGATGAAGACTGCCAAAAAAACTTTACCTCAACTGTGCAACTGATAAAGCAGGCTGATGACATTGAGTAAACCGGTGTCGTATGTTTAAAACTTTTTACGGTCTGTGGTTTCCCTTGAGTTAGCCATGAAAGGACTAGGAATTTAGGAGTAGTGGGAATAATCTCTTAGAATTCATATTTGTTCTAAATTGTTTGCCTGCATTATTCCTGATGCCTGATCACTTTTTATATCCTCATGTTTTCATTGCATTTATGAACTTACAACATGAATTTTGTCCCTCCACTAGTGTTTTTGGTCGATTGTTGTCTAAATTTGCTTGGAATCTGATATATCTAGGTTGAAGAGAAACTTGAGTCTGGTCAGGGAAAGACACCCTTCCGCCGTTTCTTTTCCAGATTTTGTACACCTATCTTCTTGGAGGTATGACTGATTTGGTTTATTTGATCTATACTTGTAGCGCATGCTTGTAGCAAATATGATCCGTATCTTATTCTATAGCTAAGCGATGTTGAGAATCAACTCATGCAGCTGAGACCTTTGAGCTGTTAGTTTGAAGTCTTATGATAACCTTCATTACTAACTTAATTCTGTTTGCTGTTGCAGTCATTCATTTTAACGTTTTTAGCAGAGTGGGGAGATCGCAGCCAAATAGCGACAATTGCTGTAAGATGAATATCTTTGAACTGATATATTAAGTCCCCTTTCATAGTTAATGTTATATTTAGTCAATACTTTTTCCTCTTGAACTGAGATGAGTTTCTTTGAACCCTGCAGCTGGCAACCCACAAAAATGCGATTGGAGTTGCGGTGGGTGCAACACTAGGACATACAATCTGCACGTCTGTGGCTGTGGTAGGAGGGAGTATGTTGGCATCCAAAATCTCCCAACGGACAGTCGCTACAGTTGGAGGCTTGCTCTTCCTATGCTTCTCCGTATCGTCTTATTTTTATCCTCCTCTGTAAGTGCAAACTGTGAACCCTAGGCTAACCTGATTCTTTTAAGAGCCTTGAATGCTCTACACATTTTGTTTTCGTGTTGTGCTCCGTTTTTATTTTTTCGGATTTCTTCACCAGTAGAGCATATGAGGCTCGTTTATAACACATCATTCTGATTTGTTTGTAAAATGTTAGCATATACTATACAGTGATATTTTGTGTCCCTCCTCGGTTGCATTGCCCCATTGTTAATGATGCATACCACGAAAGAAAATGTAAACCCATTTTCTTACAAACGTTTTCAATTACATGGTCTCATCCTCATGTGAGATGAATCAAAGTGGAAAACTTTTACCCGAAAAAACCGCATACGTGAAATAGGCCAGTTGCTCGTGACAATGTCTGTAAGCGAAAAATGAAATCAGTAACGTGTTCGAAAGAGAGACTTCACTCTATTCATGTTTGGTTGATTCTCATTCGTGTCTTACAAATAGAGAAATTTTTCATTGTGATCGGAATATTGGTATACCACGTGTTTTTATATAAGTGGTGGTAAATTGTATTTCTTTTTAGTTACTAATTTTTTAACACACATATTTCACTATTTGTATAATAACACGTGGTGTACCATCTTGTGTTCTAATCACATTGAAAAATCTCCCTTACAAATAGCCAAAAAAAGAGACTTTTCGTTGATATTTTTTATAGGAAGAAACCCTATTTTGGCAACATTTTGAATCTCACTATTCTTTATTTCACTTCATTGTTTAGTTCTTGGATATTATATTAAAAACACATTTAAGCTCAATAAACGGTAAAACCAATTCTAAATGCTTATAAAGTTTACCTTAATGCATAAGAAAAATATTTTGTCCAAGTAAAAAATTTGGACTTTTTCCCCAAAAAAAAAAAAAAAAAAACATGTGCTAACACTTACGGTATTTAGTCGGTTTTACAATTTTGTACAAACTTCATCATAATCCATTTGCTTTCACCTATGCCTCACCGTAGAATTTGAGAATTTATGTAAAACATTCCGTTGATATTCTTGAGGGTGGAACCTTATATTGGCAATATTTTGAGCCTCACAACTATTTATTCCACTTATTATTAGTCGGTTTTGTATTTTTTGTACAAAGTTCATTATGGAATCCATTTACCTTCACCTCCACCTCACCATGCGGTTTTGAAAACTCGTGTAAGACTTTTCATTGATATTCTTGAGTCTGAACCCTATGTAGCAACATTTTGGGTCTCGTTACTATTTATTCCGTAATCAATATGGGCTAGGGTTTAGTTTTAATTGCATGAGTCAACTATTGTTGCCTGTACAAACCATTGGTACTGAGGGTAAGACATTTATAGGAGGTAGGGTTTAGCTTTAATCTCATGGATGGACGATTGTTGTCTGCATGAAGCATTGGTGCTAGGGGTGGACATTTATAAGCCGCCATCAATAGGGGTAGAGTATAATTTTAATCTTAGGGGTCAACTATAGTTGGCCGCACGAAACATTGTTGCCGTGGGTGGGACATTAATAAGACGCTATTTTATCTTTTTGTTAAAATTTTCTTTTTTTCCCTTACCTTAACACCAAACTATCATCTTCATGCTCTACAAAATGTATTTTCGATGAAGATTTTCTTATAATCCATGTCAAAATAATTAAAAACAAGGATATAAATATAAATCTAAAATTATTTGAATTATAAATAAAGTAAGATAGGAAGAAAAAAAATTAAATGGAAAATGAAACAATCGGTACTTTGGTACCGGTTATCCCAGATTATAGTCGCTATAAATAGAGCGACTATTGTTGTAATAGTCGCTATCAATATAGCGACTAAATTTCTGAAGAGTCGCTACAATCATACCGATCCTTCTAACGAGTCACTTCCGCCATACCGATCCCCACTTTTCAAATTTTTTTTTCTTTTCACTTTTGTTAATTTTTCTTTTAGTTCTCTTACCATAACAACAAACCATCATCTTCATATTCTTCGAAAAAAAAAAAATTCGTGCAAAATCTATTATAATTCATATTTAAGCACTTGTAATCAACAATTTAAAACCTAAATTGAAAGATATTTGAATTTAATAGTGGTTGCTCAAATAAAGTAAATAAATTATGATAAATGTTGCTATATGGTTGGGATATTATTGTCATGACATTCACTTTTACACTTATATTGCCAAGTATTCATTATTGTGATATAAATTGTGATAAATGCTGCTATATGGTTGGGATATTACTGTCATGACATTCATACATATTTGTACATGCTCATCTGCTGCACCCTGGTGTTAGTACTCCGCCCAAGGCTAGGGCCAGTCCTTCACGTGTATGTTCACATTCGCACCATTCGCTCGCCTTGGATCCAAGTTAGGTGCCAGTCATGTTGTACAGATTGCATTAGGCAATTCCGACTTGTATGTGACCACGCCTTGACGCCAGTCTTCACGTGATCGTAGTACTATAACGTATTGATTACACCAAGTCCAGTCGTACATGTTGCATTATGCAACTCCGACTCATGTGCTAGCATAGATTGATGAGCCATTGATTATACTTGTTTATCACATGATTATATTATTGTGGCATTGATATATCATGACTTGGCATATTTCCTGGTTATATTGTTGTTATTGTTGTTTACATACCTATGTAGTATGTTTTAAGGAAACTATACTTGTTTTACGGCGAGGGGTTAGTATGTTCAAAAATAAAGGTTTTCGTACGACTGTTGTTTTGCTGACCCACTCAACTTTGTTTTTCCCCCTTCAAGACCTAGATAGCTGATTTCTTCGTGGCACTTGAGGAACCTTTGGCAGTTCTGACATCATCTTCGGTTCAAATGTATGAACTTATCATTGTTGTGTAATAAGTGTACTTTATCTGCTTTTACTACTTTTTGGTAGACGTATTGTCTTTTAAACTCTGAATAATTGTAGTGGGTTACTCCCACGATTGCGCACTCTTCCACTGTTAGTATAATTAGTTCTGATTAGTTTTAAATTTATTCACTTTTTCACATCACTTACCCTTATGGTTATGTCACCTCATGGTGATGGCCAGCACGCTTCGACCTTCCTAGGTCGGGTTGTGTCAGTTTAGTTTTAATCTCATGGATGGACAATTGTTGCATGCATGAAGCATTGGTGTTGGGGGTGGACATTTATAAGCTACCATCAATAGGGGTAGAGTCTAGTTTTAATCTTAAAGGTCAACTATAGTTGGCCGTACGAAACATTGTTGCCATGGGTGGGACATTTATAAGCCGCTATTTTATGTTTTTGTTAAAATTTTCTTTTTTCCCTTACCGTAACACCAAACTATCATCTCCATGCTCTACAAAATGTATTTTCGGTGAAGATTTTCTCATAACCCATGTCAAAACAATTGAAAACAAGGATATAAATATAAATCTAAAAGTCTTTGAATTATAAATAAAGTAAGATAGGAAGAAAAAAATTAAATGGAAAAAGGGAAAAAAATTAATAGAAAGTGAAACAATCAGTACTTTGTTACCGATTGTTATCAATAATAGTTGCTAAAAATATAGCGACTAAGCTATATAAGTCGCTATATCTTACGGATCCCTACTTTTCAATTTTTTTTCCTTTTTACTTTTGTTAATTTTTCTTTTATTTCTCTTACCATAACAACAAACCATCATCTTCATATTCTTCCAAAATATTTTTTCGTGCAAAATCTATTATAATTCATATTTAAGCATTTGTAATCAACGATTTAAAACCTAAATTGAAAGATATTTGAATTTAATAGTGGTTACTCAAATAAAGTAAATAAATTGGAATATGGAAAGATCGGTACCATGCTACCAATCCTCACCCAGTCGTACTTAAATCATCGTTCAATCTATTTATTTTCACTTTCGTCTCACCGTGGAGTTTTGAAAATTAATGTAAGACTTTCCGTTAGTATTCTTGAGGGTGGAACCCGTTTTTGACCATGTTTTAGGCCTCAATACTATATTTTTCACTTACTTTTTTAGTTGTGGCTTAAATATTCTATTAAATATACAAATGCCTTATGATGTTTTCCTTAATGCTCATGGAAATATTTCAAGAAAATAAAAAAAATTGCATTTTTCACAAAAAACGTGAGTGTTACTCACGATTTTTATCTGTTTTGCAAATTCGTATATAAATCATCATTGTTATTCTTGAGGTGGAACCCTATTTTGGGCCTACTACTAATTTTTGGATTAAATATTTTATCAAAAGTACATTTGTGGCTTAATAAACCATAAATACAATTTTAAAATTTAAATGTCTTATGAAAAAATTCTTAACACTTGCTGAAAATATTTCGTAAAATTAAAAAGAAAATTTCATTTTCGTTTTTCGCAAAGAGCTTGCAATAGCCTATAGCATCATGAAGAACCTCAGAGTGTGCACTGATTGTCGCAACTCTGCTTCTCATGACCTTATAGATAGGGAAATAATTGTGATGGTCGTTTATCTTGTCATTGTTCCATTCCTGTGGAGGTTATACTGGTAAGATAAAGACACAGTGGTATGATAAAATACTTGAAGTTAACGAAAGACTTAACATAAAATCGATGATAGTGGTGTTTTAGAATTCATGTTGTTGTTTTGGTTCGACACCAAACGATGCTCGAGTCAGCCTCGGAGTTTGTTGATTGCTGTTTGTCTTGCAACCAGAGGCAGGGACAGAAGGTATGAGCAAATTGACTAAAAATAAATAAATAAATAAAATAAAGGTTGGTGGTGACACAACGTAGCTTTCTTCCCTCAACGACTGTATTTTCTATCCTTGCAATCATTCATATATTAATGCCCTACTTGTAAGTAATACTAATAACCCAAGTTGATATTCCTGGCCATCAACATTGTTTGAGAGAGAACTACATAAAACAGAGACGCTAAGGTGACAGTGTCTCAAATCTATCACTTGTCGTCAAGTGTTTTAACTTTCTCACATGACGTCATATGAATGATTTAAGACACTGTCACCTTAACGTTCCCGTTTTATGCAACTCCTTCTCTGATTATGCATAAGAAAGATCCCTTGGTATGCACTACATGAAGCTAGAGTCCAAATTAAGAAAACGAAAGAAAAGGAGAGAAGAGAGAAGAAAGGTGGAATTTGGTAGCTTAATCTATAAGAGAGGTAAGTGAAGTGGAGAACCCTACCCACTTTTGAGTAATTGTATACAAAAGTACACATTTAATTAG